GCTCGGCCAGACTTCGTTGTTGCTCCCGAACGGAGGCAGCAAGCTGCTTAAGGAAATTGTCGGTCTGCTTAAGAAGGTGAGAGATACGAGAATCCTTGGCCTGTCCGAGCAGCTTGAGATAGGTCTCCTCATCGTTGGCCTTAAGAGCCTGGAGACGTTGCTTGGCGGTACGCTCCACACGTCTCTGTTCTTCACGCTCCATGTGCTGGTGGTGCTGAAGCATAGCACGGCCCAGTTTCTGCATACGAGTGCGCTGTTGGGCAGCAGCAGTCTGCAACTCGGCACCATGAGTAAGGATAGCCTGGAGATGATCATACTGCTTGCGCTTTTCTCTCGTTTCGCGAGCATCGCGCTGCTGTTTCTCTAACTTCTCGGTGATCCGAGCCTCCCGTAGTGATTGCTTCTTCATACGGCGATGACTCGAACGGTTCGCAGTCATGCCCAGATTGTCAAAATGGAACATCTCATTTTGGATCTGCTTCCGGAAAAGGCGTTGTTTCGGTAAAAGGTTGAGCATCTTGTATTCGATAAGGGCCTTGAGTTTCACAGAATCGTCTCCAGTGGCGGTGTCGCTCTGGCTAGAATCCCACGCGCCAATATTGGTAGGAAGCTCGGCCAATTCCGCCTTTCGTGCGTTAATTCTGTTGTAAAGGGCTATTTCGCGTTCCTCGCGCACTTGCTCGAGGTCAATTCCAGGTGGCATCAAGGCGGGAATACGCATGCGGTTGGCGCGGGAGGCGTGGTCGGTAAAGCTGACAGTTTTGGGTATCAGATCGTAAGGCGACTGGAAGTTCTGGTAGAAATCTTTGTGCTGAGGAGCCTCTGTTGTAGCTGCAGGCTGATCAGGCTTGCTCTGAGCAGCAGCTTCCAAGACGCCTTCCGCTGCCGCGACATTCTCGGACGGAGCAGGAGTCTCCTGCTTCTTCGAAGGGAAAAGTTGCTGCTGAACGCGAGCCGGAATCGGCAGGTTCTTCGATAGCATCTTGAAAGCTAGGATTTGGTTCCTAAGCGTTGCAAGCTGCTCAGCGGAGAAACTGTTTCCAGTTCCAGCCGCGCCTTTCTGAGGTGCGCCCTGGGTTGCAGGCTGTTGACCACCCGTCGCGCTAGCATCCGGTATATTGGTATTCGTCGCGTTGGGAATAGAGTTATTGCGGCCTACGAAAGTTCCGAGTGAGTGAGCAAGCCATATATGTAATATGCGATGATAGGAAATGGGACGTACCATTAATGCCATTCGCAGCGACAGCCTCGGTATTCGAGCCATTGAGCTGCTGCTGACGTTGCTGCACCTGCAACTGCTGCTGTTGCATTTGCCTCTGTTTGTGGTAGGCTTGTTGCCGCTGGAAGGCTGATAGAAGATTGTGGGCCTTGAGGTATTCAGGATCATCATGGCGAACGCCTTGTTCCTGCATCTGTTTGAATTTCTATTGAGGAGCCATGTCAGAAGATTTTACATTTGAAAGCCAATTGATTATATACTGAGGGAAAAGAAAGCAAGTAGGATAGAAGGGCGAAGTGATGGCAGTGCTTCCACAAGGGACGGAAAAGCATACCTGGAAGACCTCTTGGATTTGTTGTTGCGTGATGTTTGGCGGCAACGACATGTTTCCAGCCGCCATACTGGGTGCTGACTGGAGAGAAGCCATGGTTTAGCGCGTGGTGGACGTAGTCATAAGCGAACGACACGCTGGGGGGCGACGTGGAAGCGACCTGGATGCGACAGGCCCCGAACAAGCGCCTAGGGAAACACGTGGGAATTGAGGACGGCGAGGGTAAATGGCAATTCGCGCAGGGAAGGGCGATCGAGTGCGCTTAATTACTGACGTGGAGGGATGGTGAGCTCCTTATGTCGATGAATGCGACTGGTAGCGGCCTGTATCTGGACCTTGGCGACAAGTTTCGTGATGTTTGGACCAAGCCGGGGGAGACACAGGGCGGTAGGCGACAAAACAGGAGAATCAGGAAGAAGGGGGAAGGGGCTGTAGAACACGAGGATGTAGGGGTAGAAAGGACCCCAGACGGAGGGGCCGCGTTGGAAAAGGCGCGTGGAAGGCCAGTCTGGATGAAATGGAGATGGAGGGGACGGGGCTTTCGCGACTTTCCGTGCTGGTCGGGGAAACTGGCGGTGCTCAGCCTGTGCCTGTAACGAGGAGAGGCAGGCGGCGAGACGTTGGAAGAAGATTTCGTGCCGGGTCACGTGTATTCACTTCCCGCGCCCGTCGCTGACTCAGCTTGGCCTGCTCGCCGGCATACCCGCCTTGGGACTAGCGTCGTGCCCGCCCTCGGCACTCCGCGCTAACATCGGGATACTATGTTAAGGCTAGACTATTGGTGAGGTGCGTATACGAATACGCCAGCATCAAACGCCGATGACTTGATTAAGGCCTATCCCAAGGGCTAAATAATTTACACTACCAACCCGGTCTAAAAAAGAAGAAAAAAAATAAAAAGAAATCCCTTATCCCTTATGCACCAACACATCTGTGCAATCATCCACCACCGCTGCTGGTGCAGGCCCGAAAATATCGCTGATCATCATCCCTTCCAGACTACTAGCGACCGTGCGAGGCTTTGCCCACTGAATCATTAGTTGTATTCATCACTCCCCAGTAGAGATGAATACAGCGCATATGTGGTGACCCAGGCTAGACGGATTTTCCGGAAATCCGTGAGCAACAGTTTGGTATATAGCCCGCCAAATCCTCCAAGCTCCAGCTTGTTCGTAGTAACATACACCTTGACCAAATAAAAGAGTTCAGTACTCGCCTGCACTGAGAATGGGGCGCTTCATGGGAGGCGGTGGCGGCGCAGGCTTCTTGGAGCGAGGAGGCGGGGGTGGAGGGGCCTTCTTGTTCAGTGGTGTGCCGTTCAAGGTGGTAGAGCTGGACTTTCTCGAGACAGCACCTCCATACGAAGAGACTGGAGATGGGTTCCGGCCCATATACGTCCTCTCGGGACTGGTGCCGCTAACAGGACTAGCATCCTCCGACTGCTCCATGTATGGATCAACATATGGTCTGCCCATGGTCCGGGACTGCACGCTATTTCTGCGACCAATATAGTTGTCACTGGCTGCGCGAGATGGCCATTGGTATGTGCCAGGAGATTGTTCTTGGCGCAACTGCGTAGGTCCCTCAAATGTAGAGGTTCTGTTCAGAACAGGTCTCTGAGAGTAAGCATCTGGCGGGTAAACCTCTCTGGCAGAGGGCTCGATCGAAGATGCTCTGGTCGATCGGATGATAGGACGCAGATCAGCCGTGTTGTCGGTCTCCTCATGTAGTGGTTCATAGCGTTCATGGTAGGAATGCGCAGTGTTTGAGCGAGGGCGTCCTGGACGACGGGTGCTTGGAGGCTGAGCTCTACTAGTACGTTAGCATGACGAGGTAGATCGATATTTCGAATATGCTCACCTGTTTGGCCACTCATATTTGAGTTGCAGAAGAACATCGCGACAGCGCTCGTGATAGTCAAGCTGAGCCTCTAAGAACGCTTCCAGGTTCGCAACACCGTCAACTTCGGAATCCTTAATATCCTGCATGCGCCGAGACACATCATCGTTGGCCTCTTCATATTTGACCTTCTGTGTCCGGAGCTCTTCCTCCACGCGGAAGTCTTCCCTCTTCGCCTTCTCCATCTTTGAGAGGGAGGTATCGTAGGCCAGACGTCGGCTGTCAAGCTTCTTGCGAGCGGCCTATAGAACATAGGGTCAGCATCTCATACCACCTCAATTGGCGCTTGCAAACCCCGTCATACCTGATACTCCTTCATCTGAGTCAAGGAATGCTCCAGCGACTCAAGCCACCCCGCATTCACCTGCGAGATGTAAGCGTCCTGGAGACGAGCCAGGCGCTCCTCAGCCCTCCCAAGCACTGTGTAATAATGTCGTTAGAATAGGAATGCGAATTTTTGACATTCGTGTTAGCTTACTGGTCATGCAGCGGCCGTAATCAGAGTTCGCATCGAAGTCTTCGCCATGGCCAACCATGCTACTACCCAGATGAGCAATAGGCAAGGTCTTTTCCTTATCGTCACCTTCGCTCCGCTTCGAAATGGACTTGATGTAAGAGCCAGTCGCCTTGTGGATACGGTCAATTCCTAGATGGGGGGCGCATGAGTCATTAAGCTGGATAAATACCATATGTCTTGAGTGTTGTGATGCTTACCTTCGTGGCGCACGTTCATCTCCGTTTCCATTGCTTTGAAGTCATCTGAGAGGGTGGTTTTGGCCTCTCCGCCCATTCTCTCCCCCGCCCATTGCTTGAAGCGATCGAATTTGCGATTGACGTTCATGTTGAGGGATTGTGATGTTGGATAGAAAATAGAGTGAGTAAACGAATGTTGTATTGATCCGAGGTTTATGGTTTAGGGAAACGAGGTTACTATGCGACCAGAAACCAAGCTAAACCGTCTAGATGAAATTTGTTTCTAGAATCGAGGGTTGTTGCAAGAGGGGTTGAAACGAAAGAAACACGATTCGTAAGAAGCACGCTGCTGCGTATGAGACAAAAAGATGGCGCCACAGCCAGGAGGCGAGAAAGTGAGAAAGAAAGCAGAAAAAGAAAGGGTAGGTGGTAGAAAAAGGTGCAGCAGAGTTGCGACAGACAAGGAGGAGGGACGGGTTGGGTCTTAAGGGAAGGCTCGAAAAGGGTGACAGGGGGAATTAGTTGGCAAGTGGGATCATTTTTTCCTTTTACTATTATTATGCCTATTGATTAGTATTAATATGGTTATTTTAATTTTATTATTGCTAACCATTATTATTCTTTTCCGGGCAAGAGAGAATATTATTAGTAAATCCGGGGCAGCGATTGCGACCATGGCAGTGTTGATCGAGGAATGACAGACAGCAACGAGACCACAATGCTATTGCCAATCGCAAGCGGGCCAGACACTCTCCAATGGAGAGCTGGTTGCACGGAAAGCGCCACATTGCCTTTTCAAGGTTCCCAGCAGAATTTCTCCCCCACCAACACTCGACAGAACCGACCCGGGAAAAAGAATTTGGTCGCATAGTGACCCTGCCCCATCCCCTTCTATCTTTCACAAGTGGCATGCATTATGTACTGATTCTACTCTTCCTGAACCCTGAGCAGCCAGTATCTCCAAAGCAACCATCATACAGAACGGAGTGCGAAACAAACCAAAGTCCGTCCCTGGGATAGATGGAGGGTTCGATCCCTCCAATGACCAGCGGAGGCGGGGCCAGAACCGCCATAATTAAGTTCAGTTGGCCCAGCAGGATGAGGTGTACCTGAAACCTAGCAGCTCTCCTATCTGGAATTTCCAACTAGTGGGTTGGTCTACTTTAGCTGGTTTTAGCCAAGGTACAGATGCATTCCGGTGGCACAGCCGGTAGATAAGTTGCTGACGAAGGCCCTATCATTATCATCGACCTGTAAAACCGGGTTTGTCAAAAAGACCTGAGCGGATCTGGAGGTGTATCAGAATCGAGCAGCGTCATAGGCCAGAGCAGATTCTGGACTGCCGGATGTGACACGCGTTTGTGGGTCATTGCAGTGGGGATTTACTGCCGTCGATTGGCGGTCGATGGCCGATGGTCAGTCCAAACGTGGTCCTCCATTGGAAGCTCTCTTTGCCACCAGTTGAGTCTCGTTCTATTTTCAGAACAGACTGTGGGCGGCTACCTACGCAGCAGCCAGATGGTCTAGATACACCGTCTTGTGAGTCTGGAAGTCCAGAGAGCATCAAACAGGTTGGTTCATTCGATCAGAGAGTTACTATGATGCTTAAGAGGCTCAGGGTAAAGCTTCTGTTCTTTGTAGGTGGGGCTGCCCCAATGATGAACTGTAGGCTGTGTAAAGATCTCCCACAGGATGTTCGGAAGAAATTCTTGAGAAATCCAAATCAAGCAATCATGGTTCAGGGTCCAAAGCGACAGACACGGCAGAAAGGGGCCCCTACTGTATAGTACGTATTTTGTACCGACAATCCTCCCTCTGATCATGATTCTGCACGGTAATTTGGAAGCGCCAGCGTTGGACGCGATCATCAGACCATGATGCAAGACCCGGTCAATGCATCGACAACAATAGCTATTGGTGTGCCAGGAAAGCTTATCTGTCAAGAAACTCTAGGTAAAATTACGACCACGTACCGCTGGAATATCACTGCAGTGTTCAATTGCATGGCGTCTGCTTTACATTGAGTGAGAGCACAAAGTATCTCAGGATGATGTTATCCGGGGCTCCAAGACATGATTCGTAGATCCTGCGATTAAACCTATCAAGAGTCATGACGACCATGAACCCACATCTCTTTCTCAATCTGAAACAAACATTCGATGCGGAGGTCATGGTCAAACGGGCAACGATCACACCTTGTGTTTGAGAAAGAAAGGAGACCCCTACACGGTGAAAAGTGGGACCCGAGGATCAAAGGCGGGTTAGAGGCATATTCCAACACTACCACAGTGCTCAATGCCTCGGCACCAAAAAGCAGGGATGCTAGCATTCAGTTCCTGCTTTGTATGTACACGATAGTAAATCCCCTGCATGGAAGCTCTGTGGAGTGACTAGTAGCACTAGTCTAGTTCAAGGAACAAGTTGGTTCGAGCGATAAGTACTTCAACGTTGTTGAATATATCAGTATCAGGTTCTTATCGAAGCCCTACAATTTGTACCAAGCGCGGAGTGAATTTCCCAAGGCACCAAAACAAGCCAGGCCCGGCAGACCCAGAAGGTTCAATTCAAAAGAAGACAAAGGCGATACTGGATATGGTGGATTACTTTAGGGCCAATATCTCACAGTTGCAGCTTGAATAAATGTATGAACGACGCTCCAGCTGTTTTCTTCGCATAGTCACGTGTCGTACGCTCCGCACCTTCGCTATCATTCCTCTAACTCACCTGTACCTTGAGATTTGTACTGTTCTCTGAATATGGCCTCTTCCTTGCTTATAGACCTCGATGGAAACCCCCTACACGATAACGAGGTCCTAGGTTACGGAAGAACTGGGGTAGTAATCTATCGCGACAATGTTGCGGTCAAAATTCCCTTGAGACACCCGTGGAGTAGCGACGAGGACGTGCAGTCAAATAAAGAAGCTCTTGAACGCGAGCAAGGCATCTATCATTGTTTGAAACTTTTCCCAAGGGAGCAAATTGACTGTGTTGTACCTTGTCTCGGGCTCCACAAGAATGCCACACACCTCGCTTATATGAAAAACGGAGATCTACGAACTTACATGGCAGAGAATCAGCCATCTCGTGCACTCCAGATTATATGGTTTCGTCAAATGGCCCAAGCCCTTGAACAGATTCACGATAAACGCGTTCTTGTGGCAGATGTTGCAACTCGCAATCTTCTGCTGGATTCAGATTTATCTATCAAAGTCTGCGACTTCAGCGAAGCATCTCTTTTACCCATGGATACTGCCATGGAGACAGCAGATGACGATGGATTTTCCATACAAACAGACATTGGTCAGCTTGGTGCAGTGATGTACGCTGTGATTACTCGACAAAAATGTGACTTCGACCTCTTCCAAGAGGGAGTTCCTCTAGACGGCCGAGCTATTTGGCCACGGCGAGACTCACTTCCTAGTACCGATGGACTCTGGCTCGGCTCAATCATTGAAAAGTGCTGGGTCGAAGGGGGTTTCCAAAACGCACATGCCTTATCACAGGCACTATACTCTGTGGATATAGCGCACACCAGTCTCTGGAGCAAGCTAACGTCCATGTCCTCTTGGGATCGCCATGGCCATCTTCGAAACTCCGTTGTAATGCTAGCAGTGGTAGTCACTGCTGTCGCAATCGCTGGTTCTTGGACCAGAAGACAGCCATTGACCAGGGGTTGATTCTATACAACCGAGCATTTTCTTGTATGTCGATTCATTGTTGTTTATAAGATACCTTGAGTTGTTTGGTTTACTTGTACAGCCGCAGAGGCATTCAATCACCATGATACCCTGTTCCTGGTCGTTTACGCTAATTCCAATCCAGGATAAGTGAGTATCCACCTACAAATTCTAGAGATCAATGGAGCTCTTCAAAAAATCATCTTTAATGCAATTATTTCGATCATATCCAGGCTGTGTATCCGCACATTGAAAGGCGGGATCTTAGACAAGTTCAAATTTGATGTACTGACGGAACCGCATCCATCATCCCTTGTCTCACTCCTCCCCTGAATACGAATACGTAATCCATCAACACCCGCGGCAAACCCACCACCAAGACATTGATTTAGCAGGTACGCGTATACAACCTACCGTAAGGTCCCATCGAGGCAGTGCATGTCATGCGACAGGATCCGCTTAAATCTGAGGACCCCCGTTTCCCTTGGAAGGTTTCATTCCTTCTCATCCTAAAACACATTAGGTGCTTAAAACAACTTTAAAGTATATATATCTACAGCGCTCCATCACCCAATGTAAACGTTTCATCAACCGAACACCCTCCCCCAATGCCAACGCCGTAAGAACCCACTGCACGCCAAGCCAGAAGTTCCTCATCCTGCACCGGGTGTACATCCTGCATAGCAACAGTAGTAGTGGTCGCAACGAACCCATCATCCTCCTCAGCGGCTAGTAAAACATCAAAGTCATTCCACAGAACAGCCCCATTTCCATCATCACCACACCCATCACCTACACCCCCAACCCAATTCCTACACGCTCCCTCCACCACCTCCCCAGCACCACCCATCCCCTTTCCCCTCGTAATAATATCACCCATATACCTCCCCACCGTAACGCCCACGACCCTCTTAAACACCCTATGAAAATGACTCGGCGTCAGTCCCGCCTCCGCCGCCAGCATCCGCAACGTCGGCTTCGAGCCCGCTTGCACAGAAGCCCGGATTGTCTGACAAGCTTTCTGGATTGAATGGATCTGCGGATGGAAGATAGTAGTACCACCATTTATACTACTAGGAGTAGTTGTGGTATTACTATTCGCCCCCAACAAGTTGTGGTTGTTGCTATTGTCGATGACAACCTCGGGTTTGCAGCGCTTACAGGGGCGAAACCCTGCGCGCTCGGCCTGCGAGGCTGTATCGTAGAAGCGGACGTTGGCTCGTCGGGCGAGACGCGCGGGACAAGTTGGGCGGCAGTAGATTTTCGTGGTGAGGACGGCGTACACGAAGGTGCTGGTGTATTTGGGGTCGCGGGTTTGGATGGCGAGCCAGCGGGTGGATGTGGATGATGTGGAGGGGAGTGGTTTTGGGAGGGGGAGAGGGGGCAGGTTTTGTGATGGTGGCATTGTAAATATAGTAGAAGTGGTTATCATTGGGGGAGGTAATTTGTATATGTAAGTAACTAATCAGTCTATGGTGATGTTCGTTTCTTGAATTTCGCCTCCATTTATTCCTGGGGGATATTGGGGTACATGGTATTTGGCTGTGATTGGTCACTTTGAGAGCAAGGTTTCGTATCTCGGTTGCTGCAGTGTCATGCATCATTGGCATTTCATCTTACATTTTTTATAGTGGTACCATGAGCAAAAACAATGGAAGGCCTCTAGGTCCTATGTGTTTGTCGTTGACTACCATCAGGAGTCTTGTATGATGATTATGAAGAATTTGTTCATCGCTATTCGCAGTCTGGTGAGAAAACAGATATATATCCGATCTGAGCACAGGCACTGCGGTAAGAGGATAGTCTGTGCTCAACCGTATTCGCAATTAGCATGGTTGTTATGGTGTCTGTCAACTAATTGATCCACAATACTACGTAGTATCTGGGGAGATACTATTATCGGTGGCTGTACTATTGATTCTGGAGAATGGCGGGTATCCAAGGCATCAATGGTTATTGTTCCCCTTCAGTCCTGCTAGTAAGTAGTGGGCAGAGAAAGATTACAAGTACCCTCGGAAGTTAAATCCCGTCAATCTGTCAGCCTCTGAGCGCTCTCTTACACCTGTGAAGAGCAGGTAGCGTATAGATACTGATACCCGAAGACTCAGGCAAAAGTGCAGAGTGAAGCAGACGCAATTGCACCATAATAAGTCTAGCTTTAATCTTCGCATGGCTGGCTCAAGATCGATTCTGATACGAATCGCGCAATACGGTTCCTTAAACGGACCTGAAGACTTGGGAAAAAGATCTTCCTAGTTCTACCGTTTTAAATAGGATATCTCAAGAAAACATGCACCCGGATTTGAATTTTTTGAACCCATTTCTTTTGCTTTGGTCATCATGAGAATATTTGGTGGCCACGACCTAGATTCGCTAAGGACGCGTGGGAGATTATCCGCAGTCGCCTAAGTACATATGCCTCATAGCAAAAGAGCATTTTCAACCCGTCACAAAGAAAACTCCACACAATATCACGCTTAGTCCTTGGTCTTCTGGGTACCACGGAGCAGACCAGTTCTCCGGGCAGCGATAAGACCGGCTTTTTGACCCTGGGCAGCGTAGCGGGAGATGGTCGAGGCCTTACCAATGTGCTGGTGGTTACCACCACCGTGAGGCTGTAGAGAAAACATGTCAGAACCTGTAGATAAATCGACCAAATCATCGAAGGGAGCCTTACGTGATCCACGGGGTTCATGGCAACACCACGGGTCTTGGGCCAAGAGTTGCGCTTGACAGCGAACTTGTGCTTGGCGCGAGAAGCCTCTGTAGGGAATTTGTTAGCCATCAAAGTCCTCTTCCTTAACCGAAATTTCTCCAGAAATAGATCCAATGGAGACGGATTTTCGGAGACATACTGAGCAAAGGCTTGTCGGTACGACCACCACCAGCGACGATACCGATCATACCACGGGCGGTGTTCTTGACGACCTTCTTGGCACCGGAGGGGAGCTTGACACGGGTCTTGCCCTCCTCAGGATTGTGGCCGATGACGGTAACGTAGTTACCGGAGGTACGACCAAGAGCACCACGGTCACCAGCCTTCTCCTCGACGTTGGTAACAACGGTACCCTCAGGGACGGAGGCGAGGGGAAGGACGTTTCCGACAGTCAGGGCGGCGTTCTTTCCGGCGTAGACGAATTGACCGGTGTACATGCCCTCGTTGGCGATGAAGGTCTCGGTGATGGTCTTGAACTTGTAGGGGTGACGGAACTGGACCTTGGCGAGGGGAGCACCACGGCCGGGGTCGTGGATGATCTCCTTCACGACACCACGAGTGTATCCATGACGCTCAGCGTAGTCGAGGGTGCGGAACTGGGCAGGAGCCTTGTTGAGACGGGTGTTTGCCGCTGTCGAGCGAAAAGAAATTGTATCAGTAAAAATTGATCTGGAGATGCAGCGAATTTCGCTTCAATATGAATTCTGCTGGTCGCACTCACTGAAAATGGATCCACGACCCTTCCTCTGGTTGCGGATCACGCGACCCATGGCGACTGTCTATATAGGAACCTGGACGTTAGTATTGAGAAAGTTCCGCCTGGCGACCTTGTGGTGGGAGAGTTCGAGTTCTCGTACCTCAAAATGCTAAGATTGGGCTTGTCGGGTTGGTGTTGAGAATTCGTCGGCGAAGGGCTGTGTGGGCTTTAGGGTGGAAGTCGCTAATCTAACCGCGCTAGGACTAGTGTGGTTTTGTGGGCGCGGCTGCGTGGCGCGGGTCGCCTTCTTACTAAGACGGTATATTGGACTTAAGCGGTTAACGAGCATATCTTGCTTGCATTTGGTGAACTCTGCTATCATCAGAGTAAAGAAAGATTATTATGACTGCAAAGTAGTGAGGTTGCTGATGATATGCAGCCGTTGTCGGTATTTAATTTCCTTCTAGATACATACTATCCCTTCTTCCTGAATTCCACACTTCATTCAACTCGTTGTTATTGAACTGCCGCTTCCCTTTCATCTATCCTGTCTCTGTCCCGGTCACTTGCGGTTCATCCATGTCGGATTCCATCTCTTGACAAGCAGTATTCCTCCTGCTGCTGCTACCTGAGATGTCCTTGCAGTGGGCTATTGACTCAAGCCACCGCCTTTTAAAATATCTGACCCGGGCTGACCTGGCTTAATAGCACTATTGTCTTACTGGCGTCTCTATATCACTTGGGTGTTTTCTCCATGTAAACAGATCATACTGGTTCAAAGTGGTCAAATTTGATCATCCGGGTCAGAGATACGGGATCTTGATGTTTGCCGCATCTCGTTCCGCCGTTGGGCTTTCTCTACATGCCCGGGCCGCCTCAGGGTCACCCACCGATCCGCAATTTCAATTGTGACAAAGTGTACCCGGGCAAATGGGATCTGACGCGCCTGGGGAGACTGCCGCAAGGTTATCCTGGCATCTTCACGCCACTAGGCTGCTTAATGTCAATCGACAAACTGTCCTTGTCACATCCGGCGACCCGAATGTTGACAACTTCTTGCAGAACTGTATGTCTGCTTAAGGGAACGTCGCCCAAATGCCCTCAGAAATGATGTTAGGGCAAGACCCAATGTCTGAACCCTGAAGGACTAAGTCGCGCTGTTTGACGATTAGTTACACTCCTTCGTTGTTGGAGCGGACGCTCGGGTAGTATTGATCTATTAAGAGATTCAAATTTCATGTCACAAACCTACTTTGCACTAAATGACACTCTGATCGATGAAATCTTCTGAATGTAGTCTGTTCCGCGGACCTGTTGCGCGTTTGATGGAGCTCAGTTCGCGATAGCGAATGTGTTATCGTGATTGGGTGTTGATCATCCCTGGATAAGGGCTGCTCTCGATGATGCCAGACAGGCCAGGCGCGTAAAAGCCGCGCTCCAACCCAAGTAGGTAGCAGTAGCGTAAAGTAGAACTTCTGCCGCGGATTCGCCCGCTCTGTCTTGCCTCACCACCACCACCACCTGCGGACAGCACCACGAACATGTCGAACATGTCCCTCTCAGACTCGGACCTATCGTCGCTTTCGTCGGCGCCTCCGTCCGATGAAGAAACGGGCTCCATGGCCATTGATGAGCCCGTCGGCATCACGAAATACTTCAAGAAGGAGTCCGAATCTCCGCCGCCGAAGCGGGAGCCCTCACCACCCCACGAATATGTGTTGGCGGACAATCCAGATATTGCAGTATGTTCCGGGAACTTCTACGATAATGAAGACTCTTTTAAAGCTCTTTGGACGCGTTTGGCACGTTTCCTGATCATGTTTGCTGACCTGTCGCAATGTGTAGTTCATTGTAATGTTCCGTGCGCGTTTTAACGATGCGTTCCCGCGATCTACACCACACTTTGGACCACAGGACGTTGAAAGAGGCGTCGCGGAATCTCCTCCAGGCGATCATATTGAGAGATTGTTATGTGCATTTCTTGGATTGGTATTGAACCGGAAGAAGGATGTCGAGTATGACTGCCTCCTATGCCCCAGACCCTACACTCTTGGAAGATCCGACGGGGAGCTCCTTTTCGACCACACATGTGTCAATACTGGTTACCATACATTCAAGCTAACTCGCTCAATCAATGCGCAGTCGGAATCACTACCAGCGTCCCTTGGAAGAGGCGATCCAAACTCATGCTTCTCAGTGGCCTAAGGCTTGGCAAGGCAAGAACCCTCTGCACGGGGGTCGTACATTCGCAACCATGTCGCCAGAAGAACGCGTACGTCGCCTAACTCGAACCAAAACTTACCGGGAGCTCGTATACTGACATTGTCTAGTTGGTGTTACTGAAATCCTTGATCCTCTGGTCCCTTGCCTCGTCCGATGCCATCCAAGCCAAAATCAAAGAGTCCTACAAACAGGCACGCCACGAAGACGACCTGAACCAACCACTCTCCGTCCAACCGTGGGGCCGCGACGGCCTCAAGCGCAGATACTGGCTCATTGAAGGATTGGATGATACACACTTCAGACTGTACCGCGAGGGCAACCCAGCCCTCAAGAATGTTACCTGGTGGAGTATCGCGGGAAATATCCCTGAGTTGAAGGCAGTTGCGGATAGACTTGACGGCGAGAAAAGCATCCACTCCAAGAAACTCAGTGAGCGGATAAGGAACTCCATACCCCGCTTTGAGGGCTCAGAAGAGGTAAGCCGTCGCTTTTATTTGTGGTTCTTTTCATCGGTGCTTACTAGTGGCAGAAACGCAAGCGTCGAGATTACCGGATTGCGCGAAAGGCAGCATTCGCTCGGCCAGAGCCTGGCTTCTCCTTATATGAAGGCCGTACACGCGGAAAGAAACTGAAATACACCTACTCCGATGACGAGGACATCTTCTCTGATGGCCTTCCTTCTACACGGCGCTCAACGCGCAACACCTCCGGAATTTCCACACCCCCAGAACCAGCCGGCCCCAGATTCACAGCCAGTGGTAGGCAAATACGGTCTCGCGCAGGCGGCCTTTATGGCGAGACGTTATTGAGTGGACAACGCGAGGACGGCGATGCTGGCGACGAGGGTAGACCCACAAGGGGTCGGACGACGCGAGCAAATGGATATACAGAGTACGACGATGAAGAAATGGAGGAAGGTTCGGAAGGAGGACATTCCAGCGGAAATGAGTGGCAAGGAAACGAAGGCGAGGAAGAAGAGGACAACGAATTCGAGGGCGACGACGAAGAGGAGCTGAGTGGGGATGAAGCAGTGTTGAACGGAGAGCCACCAAGCCTTGTGGTACAACTCAGGTACAATAAGGACAAGGTCCCAAGTAGCCCCAATGGCCCAACAGAGGAACCCTTACAGCAAGACCCGAAGAGCAAGGAGGATGTGGCTAAACCGGTCACGGCGACCGGTGCGGAAAATGCACTGCAAGGGCAACCACCACCCGCAGTGAACGGGGAGAGCTCCCAACCAGACGTGGTCGCAAAGACGCTACCTGATGCTGCGGCGCCCGCAGCCCAAGATGTCACCACAACTGACACTTCTGCCAAAGTCGATGTATCGCAGCCGACTGCGACTGAGACGAAGACCCAAACAGCTTAGAAAGAATGAAACTAGGCAAGACTCATATACTATAACAGACACAGTACCAATGGTCGATTCCCCTGGTCTCGATAGAGCTATCCACCGAAATACAATCTATCTTGTCAGACTTGAGATATAACTCGCTCACATTCTTGTTCAAGGCGTTTTCTGTTCGTGGGTGGAATTTGTCGGGTCAAGCTTTGCGGCAAAAAAAAATGTGCTGTTATTAGAGATGCGACGTGTGTGATATGGAAATCTACCGTGACTGCTATATAGCAGGATGATCATGGGCGTGAATCGATCGGTATCAGAGAGATGAGGGATCATCTAACCCCAAGACATAATCTGTCATACTACTATGGAATACCAGATGGACGGACGGACCTCTTGCTGGGGCTGCTATGCGCTATGTACAGTATCTAAATTGCAAGATTGGGATGAAACACTAGAAGTCTCGTATCCTTTGGGTGTAGATACTAGAGATAGTATGTAGGAAAACTGAAAGCTCCAGGCTATATAAGGGGAAGCTTATAATCAACGAAAACGCCGTACGCTAAACTCCCAAAATGCAGACTTTACTAGACATCCACAGTCACGTCAATACCTTTGACAACCATACATATAAATCACTCAAAAAACACGACCTAGTCAGCACCGGCATTCGAGAACTGGGCCGTGTAGAACTGCAAGAACTCCGCAAATGTCAGTGTCCGTCTCATTGGTATATATAACCGAATACTCCCGCAAATAAAATCAACTGAGATAAGAATATCTCAAGGAACGTGGGTTGAAAGAGAAATAGAGCGACGGGAATGGGCTACGGCATGGATGCACTCACGTCTTCCACCTTCGCAGCAATGCGAGGATCCTTAGCCGACCGCAGGGGAGGCAACTTCCAGTTGTTCACCTCATACCACCATCTCCGGATCTTGCTACCGAGTGTCTGGCCGCTGAGGGACGCGTTGCGGTTCCAGAATCGCCAGCCGGAGAGAGCGAGAGTCCAGACGGTGCCCTGGATAAGAGGGAGGAGGACCTATAGCGCATTTGTGTCAGTCTGCAGCCTCTTTTGCTTGCAGTGGAATACTGCAAGACAGGCAGGTAACCTACCTGGTCTCTGATGGTAATCCAAGCTACTCGGCCCCAGGTATCAGCTCCCCGCAAGCTGGCGAGATAGCTCTGTTCGAAGCGCAGATCGGGCAATGGGGGCAGCTGGTGTCGTCGCGAAACGGGCTTGATCATGCGGTGGGGGGCGACGACATCGGAGGGGATACTGCCTGCTTCGGAGGCGACATCGTCTTCAACGACGGGCTGCTTCTCGGAGGCTGCGGTGGGCGGGTTGACGTCGTGTTCCGCGGACGGCTCCGGGTTGATGGAGGCGGTTTGGATGACTTCGGGGATTTGGAGGGCGGGGTCGGTCATGATGGGTGGTAGATCTGTTTAAGGGGCAGATGGATGTGTGAATGGGAGGATTTCGGACCCGCGGGTTTTGACGCCGGGTGGAATTTAGACTTGTAGATAGTAAGATTGAGCGTATAGCTAAAAGCAAGTAGGGAGGAATGATGGGATAGTCCGGGCACGGAGTAACTTGTTGGTTCCTGCGGCCAATCAGCGGGAGGCAGCCATTACGCCCGCCTTTTTGGATTCTGCATGGCTGCCCCTCCTTGACTTGGTATATCTCTCGCTGCTCTCTCTCTCCCTCTTCTCTCTTCCCTTCTTCTCCCTCTCTATATCCTCCCTTGCCTTTTCTATACTCTCTACCTCTTTTCTCCCCCATTTCATTCCATTCCACCCTCCACAATGGCTGCTGCTCAAGGTTACCCTCTTCTGTGCCTGGAGAACCCCCTCCTCGGTGCGTGAGATTTCCCCTCCGTCTCTTTCTCTCGCTGCTTACTATCCCCGGATCTTACATTGTTCAATGGGCTAACTTCCGGTATTTTGATTGCTTCCTATAGACATCCAGGCTGTCGGGTATGTTACTTCTTCCGAAAACCCTATTTTATAATTTATATATCTTCAAAGTATTCTAACATTGTCACTAGTGATGCCGCCCTTCTGCAGAAGTATGGCCTGAAGGACAACGATGCTATCCTTGCTGAGGACAAGCACATGGGTCTCTACGACGAGCTGTTCGCCAAGAACGATGTCAAGCTGATCGCCGGTGGTGCTGCCCAGAACACTGCCCGTGGTGCCCAGGTACATAAGACTAATCTGAACCCTTCCACCATGGCATGCGGACGATTGTTAACGTGATGCCGAACTAGTACGCTCTTCCCGCCAGCTCCGTCTGCTACATCGGATGTGTCGGCCGTGACAAGTACGCCGAGATCCTGAAGGAGGCTTGCGAGCAGGCCGGTGTCCACACCGAGTACCGTGTCGATGATGCCCAGCCCACCGGCAAGTGCGGTGTCATCATCACCGGCCACAACCGCAGCATGTGCACCCACCTTGCTGCCGCCAACGAGTACAAGATCGAGCACTTGAAGCAGCCTCACATCTGGTCTCTCGTTGAGAAGGCCCAGTTCTACTACGTCGGTGGTTTCCACCTTACTGTCTGTGTTCCTGCCATCCAGGCCCTCGGTGAGGAAGCCGCTGCTAAGAACAAGGTATGGTCAATCCCATAGGATCTTGTTGACAACCTGCTGACCAGGAATCGATTACAGGTCTTCATGCTCAACCTCTCTGCCCCCTTCATTGCCCAGTTCTTCAAGGACCAGCTGGACAGCGTCCTCCCCTACACCGACTACACCTTCTGTAACGAGACCGAGGCTCGTGCTTTCTCTGAGAGCCACAGCTGGGGCACCGACGACGTCGTCGAGATCGCCAAGAAGCTGGCTCAGCTCCCCAAGAAGAACTCCAACCGTCCTCGTACTGCCATCGTGACCCAGGGCACCCTCCCCACTGTCGCTGCCACCGTTAAGCCCAACGGTGAGGTCGAGGTCAAGGAGATCCCCGTCCGTGAGATCCCCAAGGAGAGCATCAACGACACCAACGGTGCCGGGTAAGTAATGGACCTCTTATATGCAAATCAACCGCTGGAATCAAAATCTAACCGCCACACAGTGACGCCTTCTGCGGTGGTTTCTGCGCCGGTATCGTCCAGGGCAAGTCCCTCGAGGACAGCATCGACATGGGCCAGTGGCTCGCTTCCCTCAGCATCCAGGAGCTGGGTGCCTCGTAAGTCCCCAAATCAGCCCCATCCATCCATCAAACACATGTCTGGCAGTGACTGACTCGACCTGTCCGGTATCTAGTTTTCCCTTCCCCAAGCAGGCCTACACCCCCATCAACCGCTCCTAAGCATCCTCCACCAAACACCCACCTTCGGAGGCGTGGAGCCATAGCTGATACCTTTTTCTCTCTCATCTACAAAAAATTTCCTATTTTCCCTTCCTCTTCTCTTCTAAAGATTCAACCTTCTATACCCCTCACGTCCTTGACTTAACGTCTTAGACTATGCTGTTTTCATCAACGGTCTATGTATGCGGATCCTCGCTATCACGCTTTCCCTTTGGGTTTTATTTTCATGATGATGGATAGATATTGCAGAGTTGCAGATGATGACGTTCTCAACAACGATTTAATGAAGAATTTATCTTGGTTGTATATATAATATATACTACGAAATCAGTCGAAACATTTCGATCTATCTTGGGACTTTCTTGGTTTAAAGTGGAAACTAGTGATATCGTATTGGTAGAATACTAACCTATGATGATGACATGAGGCCTGTAAAGGATAGGAGAGTAAAGTCACAATAGTGGCTATGACTAGGAAATGAGGAGTAAGACGAATAATGATAAGATAAATTCGAATTCTTCTTGCAACGCTTGCAGGTGCACAAGTCATCCATGCCGTGGCCTCATATATAGATAGCTAGCTAGTTGCATGCAGCTTGATCATTCTCCCCATCCTCCTCACCCTCATCAGTGCACAAGCGTCAAGACCTTGAGATCATTATCATCATCGTCATCATCGTATCCCAGGCACAGTCAAATCTCATCAACAAGCCCTTTTATTCTGCGATAACCCGCCGGTGACTGTTATAGATGGACGAGCACCATCCAATCCTATGGTATTCGGATCACGCCATTGTCGAGACCTGAGCTGTGGTAATGAGTGACGAAGGGTCTGCATAGCAGTGACCATTCCTCCTCTTATTCCTACCAAGCCTTCCTTTGCCAGCCTGATCCGACTACAAAAGGATTGAGAGTTCGGAGATAGATGGATAGAGTCGGTCACTCAGTCCTTGGGACAAACAGCTAGATAGTCGCATGCTTCCTCAATCCTGCTCATGTCACTGCGAAAGAGGTGCTGAAATATGAGTAGCCATACTGACCCACCCACGGAACTTGGTTGAGTGGTACGGTCTTTGAGATCAGCCTCCGTGGCCGCAGGGAGGAGTCTGCCCGATGGCACCGTATTGCGTGGCGGATCTACGAGTGTTGGTGAACCCGGAACTGGAAAACCCTGCTCCGGAGGGGAAACTGCTGGCGATGAATGCATTATTGGCCCAAGATGCATTACTTAGTCCGCTAGACATGGGCTGGCTGGACACTCCTAAGGAACCAGGTGTGTTTGCAGCAGCGTCTACTAAGCTTTGGTCCCATGAGAATCCAGAAAGGCGGTGGTGCGACGTAGAGTTGGGCGAGGGCATCCAGGAGGAGGGTATGGTACTAGGTCCATTGAGCGGACTGTGCCTCAAGGCTTGATTCATCATGCTCTGCCGGCGCATGCGCTCATTCTCGCTAGCGACCATATCCTGAGATGGTGGATTGTTCCCCAAGGCTTGGTTTATCATGCTCTGCCGGAGCATCCGCTCATTAGCGATCATATCCTGAGATGGTAGATGATGACTGGGGCTGGCAATGTTTCCAGGCAGCATAGAAGCCGGATACTGTTGTCCGAGACCTGGCGGAGTCCGTGGCGAAGACGCATCACCGAGTTCCGGCGATAGAGCTGTGTTCCAGATGCTTGGGATACCAGGAAGGGCAGGCCGGGCGGCGTAAGAGTGGGAAGACGACACTCGGACGAGAGGTGCAGAGCCAGTCACGGGTGGTACGAGTCCAGGGGGAGCAGCAGGGGTCTGCCTGGGAAGGATATCCTCTTGGAAAATTGAATCCATACTCGAATCAAAGAACTGGCTGGATGGTCGCTGTTGATTGCTGCTCCCTGGAAAAGCCAGCTGCTCTGGTATGGCCGGAGCATTCTCGTATGTGTCGGATTCTACTAATCTTTCCACACCTTCAACGATCCGATGCATGCTAGCTGACATCGATGCGGAGGCGGCCTGTGAACCACCAAAGACACTCCTAGTGTCAACGTTGTGGCTAGGATCAGGGGCTGCCCTTTGAATGTCGTCCCGTTCAATACTAGCGGATGAGATCGTATGGTGATGGCCCGATGGACTGGCGAAGAATTGCGAAGGGAGCCCTTCTTCCTGGTAAATAAACGTTTTCTTGTCTTCATCGTCCACCAGGGCAATGGGTATTTTCTAGAGCAGGCAGTAGTTAGCATGGCGATTGAGGATAACAATAAGCACGTAGTATCCGTACATTGCTCACAACGAGATCCAAGCCATCAATAACAAACTCGCGGATTCGGTAAAGCATCTCCATATTGGGGTGATTCCTTTCTACCCCAGGATCGTTCATTCGGGGCTTCTGCTGGCCAGTCGAGCTAAAGTACCTCCGGGAAGTTGCCTCTTTGGCCAACGGCGCAAAACACAAGGTCTCTTCATCCTCTTCCAGCAAATAGTCGATCTCAGGCAGATGCACTACATCGAACGTCGACGCAAGAAGGGTTAAAGTGTTGGCATAGATCTTCCAGAACTCGATGATCTGGACTGCTAGAGGACTGTCTTTTTCCCCTTGGTAGGACACCAAAAGGCTGCTGGCCGTAAGGAGCCAAGAGCTGTAGTTTCGTAGCGCCGGAAGGACACGTCGTGCAACAACAGTAACCTTATCAGGTCCGGTTTGGGCGTCTTTGTTGCTGGGGTCCTCAACCGCAAAGCGTTCGACTTCGGCCAGGAGAATCTGGAGCAATGTGAAGAATGTCTTCACGTTGATCCGTTGGAAGAAGGAACGCGCATTGGATGTGGAATCATCTAGTAATTTGGTTCAATACACGCTTTTATTAAGGAGAAAGTCGAGAAACCTACCGCTCGTATGTGTCCGCGAGAACTCCTCGGCAGCGATGTTGATCAGGCAGAACTTTTGCAATGTACCTTCCAGAGAGCGTTCCTTCAAATCCACAGCAAGTTGATTCAGGACTTCACTTTCAAGCTCGTCGTGTTCAGGGAAATCAATCCCTCTGTAACACTGCGCGTGAAGGTATACAAACCAAGGGGCCAATGACCTGCCGGGAATGCCAGCGTCTTCGGGTCGAATCAACTCTCGTTTGACCCACGCATTCATGACCTTTCTGAATTCAATCTCAAGATTACCCTTGGCCGAAGGATGGGGCTCTTGAGCGGCCAACGCTCTATACAGATGATAAGTGGCCCTTAGATGGTTCCCGTCGGCGAGGGCAATAACCGCCAATTGGTTATGAGGGGCACCGGACGCGGGGTAGATCAATGTGGCCAGGTCGTAGTAACCTATGGCCGGACCCCAATTGCGGTTCTTGCTGACCAGTTCGGTCTCGCGGTAGCGCGAGAGATCTCCGAGACGGATGAGGGTCGAATGGCATGATTGAAGAATGTGCCTTTTGAGGGCTTCGGAAGTTCGGATCGGAGGCTCCGCGGATAGATCTGAGAAAGAAACATGGCTTTGCTCAACGAAAGCCCAGGAATAAACGGGGACGACAATGCTCACTGTCAGAATTGAATTTCCGCGCGACCTTTTCTAGCTCCGGGATGCCTCCAAAGTGGGAGGACAATTGTTGAATGAAGGCTCGATAGAATCGTTGACTTGATTTAATGAACTCAAGGTAGTGTTTCTCGAGCTTCCGCCTTTCTACCGGCTTTTTCTTCTTTCCGCTTTCCTCCCGGAACTATAATCGACATCATATATTAGACATTGGCGGGCAGCGAACGAGCAGGATCTCATGCGACACTCACGCGAGAGAGCAATTTGCGGAACCGGGTGTTGATCTTGAGATGCGCATCCCACAGGCGAGGTTCGACATCGACGGAGCGGGCAGTCTCGAAGTCTTGAAGGATAGCATTCTGACAAGTAGAGCGGAATCTGCGACGGCGAGGAAGGAAGGACAGAGACGGTCAGATGATTCTGCGCGCAAACCCGAAGCACCGCAAGACGGCAGGAGGGGGACAGCAACTACTAACTCCGAAAGGTAATGGGAAATTTCAGCAAACGTGGGCTCTTTCTCGGCAAGGCTCTTGAGGAGCTCCTTTTCGACTTCGAGCGCAGTTCTGTATGATGCGGAATTTGGCATTAGAGACACGGGTCCAAACACGGTTTGAGGGGAACAAGAAGAATGATTGTAAAAGAAGTAGTGACAGTGGGAGAGATCGGAGAAGGGGATTACTAACTGCCACGTATTTTGGAACGCGGACGCCATGCTCAGGACCAAGAGAGATCACACCCGTGTCAGTCTAACGGTGACATTCGCCCGTCAGATGGCTATGGCTGGCTGGGAGTCTGCGGGCGACAGGAACAGTGAACGAGCCATCAGTCAGTAAGACTAGTATATACAAAAAAGAGCGAGGGCGTGGAGGGCGGTCAGGATCCCGGAGTGACAGCCACTGGAAGGAGGAGGATGTGGATGCAGCGATGAGGATGGACCCCGAAGCGCGAAGACGAACAACGGAGGGGTTCGCGGCCGCCGCTCGTTGGAGAGAAAATCCCATATCACGGGAACTTTTCGACGCTCGTCCGAAAATTGGTTGAATGGCTCGGGATGCTTTGCCCGGCCGTCTTTTTTTGTGGCTAGTGAGGGATTCTAATATGTGTGATTGGCTGGATGGATTGTGGCTGGTGATCCGGTTCAGGCACCGAACCGTTTTCTCGAGTCCTCTTTCCTTACAGTACGAGAACGCCAATACCATTTGGCAGATTTGCAAATCATCAAGTTGTGATAGATGCACAACTACTCACTATGCGGTATTTTTGTAGATCCCGGATATACTTCGATATTATGTTACTTTTTCAGCTGAATGGGAACCTGAGGATCCACACTGCAGATACTCATTGCAGAGAATATCCCTATACTATTAGCACTGTATCTACGTATCGCATACTCCAATTATATCCCTACACTTATCATTTTTTTTTCCCATGCATTATTGTCAAAGTAACTACTTACTACCATAGCCATCTACAATTTACAAGTCCTCTGGCAACCTCCATCACAAAGGTACTCAACCTCCCAGTTCCGGACTTTCCATCATCCATTCCTCCACTAATCGCGGAAGCTATGACATCCGCTAAAAAAGTATCCCACCTCCAGTCTAGAACCAATCCAGCCTAGTGGCTCACCAAATATTCGCTGGGCATTCCTCCATATTCCATTTTTATACTATAACAGTAACACTACACTATCAATCACAATCTTGTAAATTTCTACTACACCCTACTTTTAGTACTTCGTAAGCAATCAACATCTCTTCACCCTTCAAACAAACAAGAAAAATTCCCAACTAACCCACCACACATCCAGACAAACCAACCACATTACTACTACCCCAATCTGCACACTTCATTGCAACTGCAGCCCATCCAAACTAAACCAAGCCCTGACCTATCACAATCCCCCAAACACCTCACCATCATCCACCAGCAACCCAGCACCACCACTTCATACAAAAGACAAACCCAGGAAAAAGAAATAAAATGTCCAAACGCTCACGAAGCACATCCCCATCCCTATCGCCTTCACCTTCACCATCACCACAACATTCCTCACCCACCCGTCCCAAAATCCCCTCCTTAGATCCCACAGCCACACCCCCCAACCAAGAAGTCATGCACTGCTCCCTACCGCCCCATCGGGAAACCATCTCGTTTACGTCCTACGAAGACTACGAGGTGCATTACCGTCAGGCACACGTGAATCGGTGTTCGCAGTGTGGGAAGAATTTCCCGACGGAGAGGTTTCTGAATCTTCATATTGAAGAGAATCATGATGCGTTGGTAGCGACGAGGAGGGAGAGGGGGGAGAAGACTGTACGTTATTACCCTTTTCTTTTTCCTCCCCTTCTCTATGTTCGATGTTCTGATGCTAATGGTATAATATGCAAGTATGCATGCTTCGTCGAAGGCTGCGAACGCGTATGCTCTACGCCTCAGAAACGCAGAATGCATTTGATTGATAGGCATGAGTTTCTTAAGGTATAATATATCATTAACCCTCTGTTTCTCCATGTCTACTGAAGACTATGACTAATGTATGTATCCAGACATACAACTTCTACATCGTAAACGACGGTATCGACAAGCAGACCTCTCTACTGAGGACACCGCATGACCATCGTCGGCGGTTATCATCAGCTGCTACGGGTCCTACTTCGCCGAAGGAAGGGCGGTTACGGTATCGTCAGACTTCCATATCCCAGGCTGATTCTGGTGCGAGTGCTCAGAAAGGCTCTTCTCCGTCTATTTTTTCTCGACAAGGTGCTGCTGCTCCTGCTGCTCATGCTCCGGCTGGTGATGAGGGGATGGCGGAGCTGGAGAGGTCCATGTCTGCGTTGCGGTTTGTTCCGGCTAGTGTGGTGAGGAGTCGGGGGAAGCAGAAGTCTTGATGTTCTTTCTTCTTGGGTGGGGTTAAGAGTCTCTGACTTGGATGACTTTGGGTTTGTTTTGGTGAAAAGTAGTGGGCTACGGCTACTAGGGGTGGACTGCTATGTATTCTTGATACCCGTTTCTTGCAACCCGCATCGCTTTTATTAATACCCGGTTCATTCGATTGGAGAGCGGTCTTGTGGCCGGATAGATCAGCCCATGAAAGCTAACGGAAGTAGGGGAGTTCGTGGTCACTCCCTTGTCTTCTGTAGACTTCCAGCAGGTGGAAGGCGAGAATCATGAGCCAACCGAGGTGATGACGATACACAAGAGCCGCTCTCCTCCCCAGAAAAGAGAACAGAAACAGTTTATGTACACGGAAGATACTATGGAAATAAAGATGTCATATCCGTGAAGACATGGGTATACAACAACACCAGCAATACAGAAAAACCAAAGTGTCATTAGCGAATAAGGCGGTTCAGCCATTCATCAAATCACGAAACCGAGACATAAACGAATCACAGATAGTGCTGGCTCCCCAGCGCTGTGAAGAGTGAAATATTGCTTGGAGGTCTGGCGTGGAGTCGAATCACGAGGCGCCAGTCGTACACAGAGCGAGGTGGGCAGTTACATCTGCGTCTCTAGAAAATCGGCATAAGTATCGAGACTCGACCCAACTAGATCCACAATCGCCCAGCTGGTGTTTCCTTTAAAGGTTCGTGCCCAAACACGCACGATAGCAACGCTCAGCTGCTTCGCTTTATAAGGGTTGGCGATAAAGTCCAGGTCGGGTGCCCCAGGGGGATCAACAGCCATGTCGGTTTCATCCATCATACTCTTGATCCACAGAAGAAGCTTTCGCTCGTGCTCTGACAGTCTCTGCTCGGCCTGGGTTATTGGTATTGACAGCAGCCAACGGCTAAGGAGGAAAGCACACTCCAAGCTACACAGCGAGTGCTGGATGCTCCAGAAGAACGAATGGGTTCGGGCCACAAAGTCAATACCTAGGCGGACTGGGATTGAAAGTGCATGGGCCGAATGCAAAAGAGCCATGATCAGACGAGGGCTTCGTGCTACTGGTGGAGATTCACCCAGAGCTCTCGCGATTTGCAGGGGATCTTGCGTGATAAGACGACGACAAGGTCCCAAATCAACATGCAACCGAATATAAGCAAGCCCGAGAAGGGCAGTAGACGTGAATGCTATCGGACCTGCCGGGTTTTGAGGATCAATGCTAGATTCAGGTGTGCGTTTCCACAACGCCTTCCAGGCACTCAGAGAATTGTCCAAAGCGGACAAGTCTTCTTGACGTAAGCTTGTCCCATGCATACTTGGGGCAGAGAGACAGAGCTGACGTGCAAAGAATATTTGCTGGATAATAGCGTGTATCAGGATATAGTTCCCAAGGGGGGATATCGGCGCCGAGGCGCTAGAAGTACTGGACTTGAAGAAAAGTCTGGCAAAAGCCTCCTGGAAGGAGACTTCTGGGCCATGCCTCGTGCGGAGGACACGGCGCCATTGAGCTGCATTTGAAGCCTTCCAGACGTCGTGCGAACAGGGCATGTTCAGCTTCAGCTCGGCGTTAAGAATGAGAGGGGGGATGTTGTACATGATAGAGTGGAGGTTGAAGAAGCAATAAACAATGAATTTGGTCCGCCGGTTACCTTCCCGTCGTATCCAATCTTCCCAGTTGTTCGGGTCGGGGCTAGGAGGTGGCTCGACGAGACCATGTTCTCTCACGAGCCTCGCCAGCGTGCTTTGAAGTGAGAGCATTTCTCGTAACAACTCTGGGTGCCGTTCCCACGAAGCAAACACTGTAAGCAAAAGAAATGTTCGAATCACTTCCATGTGCGCATCCGAATCTTCGGGTGCATATCCAGAAGGATCCGCTGGGTATAGAGTAGGGTGCTGCTGCTGCTGCTGCTGGAACGGACTACTGGTATGGTTTGAGGTCGCGGATGACCCGCGAGAGTTGTGGAATCCAGATGCCGGTGACAGGAAGTTCCAGGTCGGACAAGCCACTTGCTTACTATCTCGGCGGTGGAGACGCTGAAGCAGGATGGCCTTGGCTGCGTGAAATAGCTCTATGCCTCGATTGTTTTCAAATCGATAATGAGACCCCGCAGCAGCCAGCGCAAGAGTGAGCTCGGGTGAGCATTTGGCAACGGAGAGCGTGGGGACATGAATGAAAGGAAGATGCTCGTTTAAGCCGTTGATATAACCAGCAAAAAACCGAGACAGTGCGTGCCTTGAAGGTGGAATGAAATTTTTGGGAAGAATATAGGCGAATTCATCGAGCTTCGACAGGAAGACCTGACGGTCTGCATTTGATATATCCCAGGCGGGGCGAGGTCCTTCATCACCAAACCCGAGACGGTCATCTACATCATGAGGTTCAGGCTGCAAGGACGGTAGTCGTGATCCAAAATTAGAAAACGACGGCTGTTCATCAGCTGCAGTCCGCGGGTCGCTCATGAGCTCGGGACCAAGTCTCCCGATTTCACGGATGGCTGGCTTTGAGTCCATTGGGAGAGTAGTCGGCAGGATCGGGTCTTCAACCGTTGAGAATACGCCAGAGTCCCAGTCGGACGACAGGCCTACGCTCTCCAGGAAGACCGTGAAGTCTTGAACAGGATCCCCTAAGTCAGCAAGATCCAAGATAGAGGGTTCGACGCCATAATTATCGGTTATCGCTCTCTCTGGGACGTGGGTAAGTGGCTGCGAGGTGCCCACGTTCTGTGAAGACTTGCGGAGCGATTCGAGACTTTCCTGCTCACCCTCCAGGGCAACATGACTTGCAGCGTGGGAAAGGAGGTTCAAGTCATATCCCCAAGAAGGGTTGAAGTGAGGCGTTTCCACAATCGGGGGAGGTTGCACCTGCACCTCGGGAGGCGGCGGCGGCACGGGTTGGGTGTGAATAGGGACAGCGTCGGCAAGCTCTAGCATGCGGGACTCATGGTGAGTGGGCTGTATTATGGGAGGTTGGGTCTGGGGGACATCGTGGCTATTCTGAGCACGATGCTCCCGGTTGGCTGCGGTCTCAGTTGGATGGACTAGCCGCTCATGTCGTACGAGCAGATCACTATGAAATTTCCCCCCATATTAGCGCGGGGCGGCTGCGATGCAACGCGGGCAACAACTTACCTCCTCGCAAAAGATTTGGAGCAAATATCACATGAGAAAGGTTTCTCCTTAGTATCTAGATGATACACGTCAGTCTCGCGTGTGTGGGAAGGCCACAAGCAGCCGGGAAAGGCTTCAGGGTTACTCAACGGGTGCGGAGATGGCGCTGGAGGTGTTCCAGGCGCGCAAACGACCGACTGCAATATTCGCAAGACAAGGATTTGCGATGAGCGGGAGTGCTTTTCTTCCTCACTTTTCCCGGGGTGCCTCTGTCGTCCTCCATGGCGAATTGCCCTGGAATTGGACCATGTCCTTAGATGGGATTACAGGCGAGCGGGGAAGAAAAACTGTGGGGTCAACATGAGGGGGTTTTGCGAGTTACGGTCACGTGGTGCCCTCCCGCTGCCTTCCGCCAAAAGGAAAGCCCTACCACTCATTAATTATTCTGTCTACTAACGTGTGGAGGCCAGTCAGTTCTCTCCTCTCCTCTTGTCAATTTAGGTCACTTTCCCCGCGATATGCCCCTGTCAGTCTTCAAATTCCAACATCAGAGAAGGGAAGTGCGGGCGATATTGCTGCATTGTGCGCCGGTTAGGTCTCTACGCAGGATTTCCTGCACATCCCTTGGAAAGTTGACTCCGCCATCCCCACCGGTGCGGAGATGTTTACTTTGGGCATCGATATCACGAACATCTCCTCACAGAGGCCCGCATTTCCATGGGGAGTCCAGTTGGGGTTACAACAACACTCTGAATTTAAATATCAGATGGGAGATAAAGTAGCTGTGCACAACATAACTATGGCCAACATTTCTAGCTACATTATTACTTACTATAGCTATTACATGACTGGGGTACTTTCGGTATCCGACACGCACCCGCTCCTCGGAGATATATATCATGTACAACATTGTGTCCAGCCTGAACTCAATTAGGCCGACCGTCTGCAGTCACGGTGCTTATCTTTGCTCATTCCACAATTTTTTCATCAGCTGCCATATGCTCCCCCACTTTCTCTTCTTTATCTCAGCCAAGGATCAAATCAATGACATCCGTTGCATACTTGTACTACAAAGAGAGAGGTAGTACTAGACATGCGATATTCGGCAATAATACGCTTTATTATATCTTTAGCCAGGGGAATAAGGGGCAGAGTATTCCTCCCCTTAGCAATTATTCTTATCGAAAGCCAATGTTTCAGCTTAAGCGGACGCCAAAGCATACCAGGTAACTCGTAATTCCCTTATGGACTACTACTAATAGTACCTTAGAAGTAGATGGTTGAGGTGAAGCTGTTCCTGCCTGAGCGCCAAGGTATCTGCTCGGTAAACGGATTGAAATGAGCCCCAAAGCTGATTTGTCCCTCCTAGCCCCTTGAGCTATCTTTAACTCATCTCATCTGTCGACCGCTATCCGATTGTGAATAGAGCGGAGCGGTCCTGAGTCGCAGCAGCCGAAATTGGAAATGGACGGGACACAGATGGCCGGATGGTTCAGATGCTGAACCGTCCCACCCCACCGAACCCCCAGAACTTGGTACCGAAATGGGGCCACGATCTATCTACATCGATTTACACACCTTGCTGCATGAAATAAAAGCTCAGGGTCGTGAATGGAGCATGCCAGTAGATATAGGGTACGCCTTTTGAATGAACGAGCTTTGAAGCGCTTGTCGACTCAAGCTAGACTTGCGAGTAGAACAAGTCTACTGACCAGTGGTAATCCTCGTGATGCCCGTACGATAAGTAAGCTGGTAGTCTCCATTATTGACATTATTTTCCTGACCCAAAGAATACATAATATATATGGTACCTTGGGATATCTTCGTATAAAGTTCGGTACCATATTAGGGTTTACTGGAGCGTCCCTGCTTATGGCTTCTTCTCAGGGAGTACAGTGGCGAGCTCTCCCTCTACTCATACCAGTTTTCAACATGCTTGGCTAAGGAGAGACTGCCCTCGAGCAGAGATCGGAGGAGCCCGCTCGATTCCAAGTTCTCTAGTCAAGGCTAAATGGGTCCTTCCTTAGACTTCGGATAAGGGAGGAATGAATCTTCAGGGATAGAAGATGCTTTCGGACGGTACGATCCACCTTGGAAGAGAGTCAGTCATTACTCGGTATGGATCTACTCTTCCAGTCAGACGCTTAAGAAGACCACCTCCCGTATTATTCCATCATCAGTAAGCCGGCCCGCAGCGTTGATGGTATTCCTGTCAGAGACAGATTATGGTGCAACGCCACTGACTAGCCTGTAGAGAGTAAGGTTTGAATGCGCTAATTAGAGTTTGAGAGGCCTAGACACGGGATATCCAGATGACTGCTGCAATGCAACAGTAATCCGCAGAATATGTAGTGATGGTGAGTGGTGTGAGAAGGGGTAGTTATTGAATTTTGAGATATCTACTATCGGGTCAGAGACATGGGAAGCCTGACCCTAAAGCAAAGGCCGTCGGGTGGGAGCCCAATGGAAGGATCGTGAACACCAACCAGAACCCGGCAGTTTCTCAACCGATGAACACGAAAGCTGTCTCATCTTGAGGGACCTCCCAACGCGTTAGCCCGTGACTCAAGTAGTCTAGTTTCATCATCCAAAGGGAAGAGAATAAACAAACTCTCCGAGTACTACCGGGACCAGGTTCTTGGGAAGAACCAAGCATCACCCAGGCACAAACCATGGAACATGCCCACCAGGACGGCTCAACCGCCTAAGAATAGCAGGAAAGAATGGGGGGTGAAGGGAAATCGAATAACCTCTTGGACGGGAAGGGATAGTCGGAGGGGCGTCTTGGGTTCATTGTTTCAGATCAGACTCCTTGACAAATCAGCCGCGGCGGCGTGTTTGAGAATGAACCCGCGACTCCAACTAAAAGGACGCATGCCGGAGGAGCCCATCGTCCCCGACCGATCGGCCTAACAGGCTCCGTCAGATCCAGTTCGGTCTGTAAGCAAAAGAGGTTTCAATCCATTCATTAGTTAGCCTCCGGACTGACCGCGCTACTAGATACCAAGGGAGGCGGTTCTTGTCCTGTCAACTTTGCCTTTCAATCTAATCTACTACTACTACCACCAACACTGGCTTTTCTTCTTATTCCTCCCCCTCCTTCAACTTTCCCCTCCGGTCGCCCTACCCATTCCTCCATTCTTACCAAGACAGCACACAGCACACAGCATTTCACCCACCTCCCCAGCCTCAGCATCAGCCTCAAGCGCCTGTCACTTTCCCCTCCAACCACCCCCCCCCGGTGGGTTGACCTCCATCCAGCGATAACGTCAGATCGACAACTTCAACCCCCTAGTGCAGCCCAGACCTTGGTCGGAGCGGCACAAAGGAGGATCGGGTCTTTTGAAAGCAGCACAGACACCCTACCGCATACCCTCTCCTCTTTCGGTTGGATACACCGGTGATATCGATTCAGCCTGAACTGTAAGTTATCACCATGTTGTCCCTCCACAGGCGCCCCCACGGATACCCCAACCCGGTCTTTGTCCTCAGTTGGCCGCCGCTTCAAGGACTGACAGTTACGCGACAATCTTAGAGGTGCAGTTCTGGACCATGCATTGAACGTCCCAACATCTCTGCCGAGTCCCGCTTCCCCTCCGAGTCGGTGTTTCGAAGACGTCAAGGTTATACACACTAGGTGGCGATAGCCCAGCCTTTACGCTATTTATTCCAGAGTTTGCCGCCAAATCAGCAGGGTTATATAGCAGGGAATACATATACCCAAGGAAAGCCTCGTCCGCGATCTCTGGATATCTCGCAGCCATGCTTGCTAAAGCAACCTACAACCCGTTGGGTGTGTCTGCAACCCAGACCCCTACGACCTCCTACTACACTGGGTCCTCGCAGAAGCCCACCGCAATTGGAGATTCACAGAAGGGGATGATGTTCACCAGTCCTACCGAGTCAAGCTTTTCTGACGCGTATGACGGGCTTGATGCGGTCCGGTAAGTCTTGGCCCTTCTAAATCCTCCGACAAAGCATGCAGAAGACTGACCGTTACAAGATCTTGGGATGAGAAGCAGGTTATTGCCTGGCTTCACAGCATAAACTGCGGCCAATACGAGGCCCTGTTCAAAGGTACCAAGCGCCACCGTTATCCAGTTCAAAACTACTCTGGCAACGAATGCTGATCGGCTCCAGCGAACAACTTTAATGGTAATAACCTCATCGAATGTGATCAGAAAATCCTGCAGGAGATGGGTATCAAGAAAATCGGCGATCGTGTGCGGATATTCGTTGCCATCAAGCAGCTCAGAAACAAGTCGGTCCTCAACGGCAAGTCGAGGAACTTGGTATGTTGGATACGCCTCTGATACAAGTTAACTCGAGAAACTTACAATGGACAGAATCAACTGGCTACGCTGGAAGCCGTATCTTACACAAACACTTCATCGGACCCATCACGTCCCTCCAATCTCCGGCAGACTTCCACAACTCGCCGCTCGTCTCGAGCAGCCGAGACTAATGCTCTCAACTATTCCGCTAACAGGCCGTCCTCGCGGCCTGAATCGCCTCTGCGTCCGCAGCAGTATGTCGCTAATAGCCCGATGGAAATGGGACGTATGGAACAGGGGCAAAGCTACTTCAACCATCCGTCCTCCGGTAGCTCAATGACCAGCCGAAAGCCAGGAACGCCCAGCGAACGAACTGGATCGCATTTGAGGCAAAACCCTAGTTTGGATGGCTTGACTATGGGTCAATTACCGACGAACTCGCCCGTTATCAGAGTGATATACACAGGAGGACAAACTAAGATGCTGGACATCAAACACTGCAAGACTGCCGATGAGGTCGTTCTCTGCGTGCTGAAAAAACTACAACTCCCGGAACACCAATACCGCAATTACTGCTTCTACGTGTTGGACGGCCTGGAGCCAAATTCTGCCAACTGTAGAAGACTGACAGACCAGGAGCTCATGGAGGTGTGTGAGAGTACTCACCGGTCCGAGCGGGGTCGCCTTATTCTTCGCAAAATCCATGCTGGGGAACCCGATCCCGATGAGCTTCGTCGTGCTTCTCAGCTGGCGGTAGATGAAAGTCAATTAGCGCATATGAATGCTCTGAGCAGTTCCAATGTTCGCAACCAGCTCAAGATCCAGCAGCTGACTGGCGAGCCCTGGCATAATATCAGACAGCCCATGTCACCCGTTTCTTCCCGACACAACCAGACACCTAGTGAACATGATATGCGACCGCCCATGAATGTGGAGCGTCAGGTGGGCAAGTTGCGGTCCTTCTTCGGTGCCCGTCCTCCAAGCGAGATGATCATCCATGAGATCACGTCCTATTTCCCTAGTCACCAGCGGGAGGAAATCGAAAAGACCATGCGCATGTCTGTTCGCAGATCTCAGCGCCTGAGCCGGGCCGCCAGCCGTTTGAGTGTCGTCAGTAATACAAGCTATGCGTCTAGCCTGAGAGATGCGCCCCCGATCCCCAGTATTGCCGATACCTGGCTTAATGCCGGGCCACAAACTGCTCGCGGCCAGCGGCCACTCTCTGTTTCCAAGTTCAACCTTCCTTCCGCTACGTACAGAGATTCGATTGCTTCCAGCTCCCTTCAGCCTCTTCAGGAAGAATCGCCCGTCGAGCCCAATCGCAAATCATATGTTTCTTTTGACAGTGGCTCGGATGACCCCACAACGTCGCGCCAGAGCCTTGTGGATGAGAACGCAAGTGTTGCTGCAACGGATGGAGGCTCACTCAATGAACGCTTGAGCATCCTCGTAGCAGAAGATGGAGAAGAGGAAGATGATGGTCTCAATGACTTCTTGGCTGGAAACAACTTTGCTCCCAAGAACTGGATGAAGGGATCCCTAATCGGTGAAGGTTCCTTCGGAAGTGTCTTCCTCGCCCTTCATGCCATTACCGGAGAGCTCATGGCTGTGAAACAAGTTGAGATTCCGTCCGCAACCAAGGGCACTGAATTCGACAAGCGGAAGAATAGCATGGTTACCGCCCTCAAGCACGAGATTGAACTTTTGCAAGGGTTCCATCACCCGAACATTGTCCAGTACCTGGGCACTGCTGCTGACGACCAGTACTTGAACATTTTCTTGGAGTATGTTCCAGGAGGGTCCATTGCTACCATGCTTAAGCAGTATAACACGTTCCAAGAGCCTCTGATCAAGAACTTCGTGAGGCAAATCCTTGCCGGTCTCTCTTATCTCCACAGCCGTGATATCATCCATCGTGATATCAAGGGTGCCAACATTCTTGTTGATAATAAGGGCGGCATCAAGATCTCCGATTTCGGTATCTCTAAACGAGTAGAAGCCTCTACTCTCCTCGGTGCCCGGGCAAGTGGCGGAGGTGGCCACGCACACCGAGTCTCCATGCAGGGTAGCGTGTACTGGATGGCACCTGAAGTGGTCCAACAGACGATCCACACCAAGAAGGCTGACATTTGGAGTCTGGGCTGTCTGGTGGTCGAAATGTTCACCGGCGCACATCCCTTCCCCTCCTGCAGTCAACTCCAAGCCATTTACGCCATTGGTAAAGAGAAAGCCAGACCTCCCGCTCCCGAACACGCGAGCGACGAAGCCGTAGCATTCTTGGACATGACCTTCCAAGTTGATTACGAAAAGAGACCTAGTGCCGACGAACTTCTCAAGTGCCAATTCCTGGCCAGTCCTCTTGCATGAAAATAGCATCAAACCGGGACCTTTCCCCCACCCGGAAACACTACCTAATACATTGACGACGAATTTCTTCCCGAATGCTTAATCGATTGATTTGTGTGGAGAGTTGAATACCCCCTGGATTCGCGTGCGTTTCTGTCTTTTCCTTGTTTCCGCATCACTCATACCACATATATTGTCTTGATCTGCCTTTTGCTTTCTCACTTTGCCACCCAAAAGCACAATCATATAACGGCCGGCCTCTTTCCCCCCTTACCCTACTGATTTTCTATCTTTTGGCTTGTTGACAAGCCACGATGAAAGTCAATTCAATTCTTGTACAGAGCTGCAATGTGCCGTGATATCTTACATATAATAAGCTTCCGTCAAATAAAAGCTGCGATTGTGGGCCAATGCTGAATTTGTTCGTGCATTGCTACTCCCTGGGAGAGGGGAGACACCATCTTCTATTTTCAATTGTCTCTGTAGTAGTATGTTATCTATATGTAACTGATAGACTATTTAATTTGACGATTACTAACGTCATCGACATGCACCTTATTATTTTTTTTCTCAGTCCTGTCTTGAGAGTTTCTTGTCATGTCTTGTCATGTCATATACTAGTATTAAGCTGGAATCAGAAATGTGCATTTGTAGTTTAATAATACCAAAAACAGAGCGTATTTTACATAGATGATTCTAACAACAGCAGCAGCAATAATAATAATACTAATAACACCACAGATATAGGTACTATCCTTTCATGTTACATATTCAAGGAGGAAGATGTTTGCTCAAATCAACAAAGGTGTGAGTGAGGTGATGGTAATGGGAGAAGAAGAAGACAATGGCCGTCTATTGATTGCCAAATGTCAATTTCCTAACACATGATATGTTATGGATTTTTTTCTTCAATTGACAAGCTTGCCGTAGAAGGGAACACCCATGGCGCTGAGCAGGAGACGGGCGTCCTTGTCGGTGTTGGCGCTGGTGTGGATGGTGATGTGGCAACCGGGGATCATTTTGGGGGGGTACCTATTTCATTCTGATTAGATCTGATCGTACTTGGCACTGCGTGCATATGTATGTGTGCATGTAAAGCGTTGTACACTTGGCAATGCAAATGGGGAAAAACTTACATATCATAGTTCACCTCAATCTCCGGGAACAGAGCCATCTCCTCAGGCTCAAGACCGAAAGTGATGTTACCACTGCTGTCACCACTGCTACCCTTCACACCCTGCCAATCCTTGAGTCTGGGCATGACAACATCGACCAACTTTCCGAAGAAATGCAGCATGTTCTCACCGCGCAGCTCGGCCTTGGCGGCAACGGTATCACGACCGGGGGCGATGTGCCACTGGGCAACGCTGGTCTTGGACTTGAAGGTCTCGACCTTGACGTTGGTTACGGCCTGCAGGGCCATACCGGCGACATGCAGCCATGATGAGTCGTACTGGGCAGCCTGCTTGACGTAACTGTGGAGAGTAATGCGCTCGATCTTGGGGATGTTGTTGAAGGTGATCGGTTTGCGGAGGAGGCGGAGAACGTCACCGCCACGAGGGCCACGGAGAGATCGATTCTTGTGGTACGGGGAGCTGTCATCCCATGAACGGAGACGGGGAGCCTTCGGCGGGGGCTTGAATCCCGGGGGGTTGTGGACGTAGAGGAGGGTGAGGAGGTCCGGTGCGACGGTGGATTGCCAGGTCTGTGCGACACGGGGAAGGGAGAAGGGTCCGGGGACGAAGAGTCGAGAGGAGGGATCAGAGGGCGGAGGGGGCCGGTGAGGGTGAAGAGGACCACGGTCGTATTTGGGCGAGCGGAATTGATAACTAGGTGTTTTGTGTTAGAGGTGATGGTGGATGATTGTTGGAGGGCAGTGAAGCCTAGGGTTTGGATCTTGGAGGTAACGTACCGACTCCGAGGTAGTTGCGTCTTGCGTGCTCTGGCTCTTTCGAGAGGACTGAAGGACTTCACCGTGTCCTCCGACAGAGGGGTGGATAGAGTGGTCGACTCCAGGTCATTGATAGCGGCGGACGGAGATCTCGTCGACGCTTGATCGGAGGCATTGCGACGCCAGCAAAAGGCCGGAGCCCGCGAAGAGGGCGCAAAGGCCCGTGGCAATGACCTTGCCAGGTATCTGGAGGGTTCACTGGCAGCCATTGAGGTCCACAGGGGATGGGGGTTTACTGTAGACTGGTCGGAGACTGGATTCCCAAAAATTGTTTCGCGGACCGGCGAGCATCGACTCTTTCGGGACAGCATCACGTGGTGTGTCCGGGACCTGGCCTGGGTTGTTGGTGCCTGGGGGATCTGGCAGGGAATAAATCAGGCAGCCATAAGGAAGGGCCCTCCACAGGCGGGGATCCACATGTGATCAACTTCGTCATCCCCGCCACCAACAAGCTTATCGTCAATGCGCTGAGATCGGCTGCGAAGGTCTTCTGATGAGCGGCTCTTTCTTCCACATCAGCAAATACCCTAGTTGCCTCGAGCACACTTCCCTCTTTGCCTTTCTATCCATTGTTCTACAGCTAAGATCTTGTGCCGTTACATGTGATGTCACTGATCGCACCTGGTGCCTAGTGCCTAGTATACGTCGGGCTTTGCTAATTGGACATCGTGAGAATTCCATCGCGACCAAAAGTCAGAATAGAGGAAAAAAGATAAATCGGGAAAAATTAATTCTGAGTGATCTCACCGTCTGATATGTGTTGTGACTCCACCAGAGATCTCTTCGCGTGCTCCATCGGAATTCTGGAGCCTGAGCAAGGATTTATATAGATCCCCCACTCATCGATGCATCTCGCACTGCCCACTTCGCACTTTCGTTTGATTTTTACCGTCGTCTGGTTAGGACACATGCGCTGCTGAGGATGAGTGGCATCCACAGGTTTCTCACTAGACGTGAGAAGAAAAATGCCAAAGAAGAGGTATGGTGGAGTTCCGATGGGTGGCGTCTGGTCATGCTAATGCGCCTCGTCATCTAGGCATCGAACCTCCTTTCGCGCCCCCATTTTCGTGGGTTTTTCTCATCCGATAAAATTCCTACCGGGGATAGCAATGAAGATCAAAAGAAGGTGAATTCAATTTGGAACGTGCGTACTCGCTGGTGCTGACAAGAAGTAGATCAAGGTCTTAGAGCAACGTGTCGCACAGCTCGGTATTACTGGCTTACGGCCCGAACACATCAGTTATGCCCTGCAGTCGGAGCACGCAAAGGGGGATGTAGACAAGGCATTTGAGATGCTCATGATTCTTGAGGATGCGATCGAGGGGATCATAAGAGGGTATACGCCAACCACGAAGCTTCTTGGGGCGGTTAATCGTGAAGGCGTCACTTGCTACCTAGATGCACTACTCTTTGCCATGTTCGCTCGATTGGATTGCTTCGAAGCAATTCTCTACAAGTCTTTCAATGATGAGCCCCGCCGGAAATTGTCGGTACTGTTGCGACTCTGGGTCAACATGCTGCGGTCGGGAAGGCTGATTACAACGGACCTTGTGCGTATTCCTTCCGGATTTGTTCTTGTTATTAAAGCTGACTGTCTACTCGGTCGAAGACCAAGCATTTACAGGACGCCCTTGCTGAATGCGGCTGGGAAGATGCGGCCAAGCTTCACCAACAGGATACGTCCGAAGCGTTTACTTTCATCACGGAAAAGTTGGAATTACCGCTTCTCACGCTCAAGATGGACATCTACCATACCGGAAAAGAGGATGTAACAGGTGATCATAAGTTTGTCAACGAGAGGCTTCTGGAAGTTGCGATACCTGAGCCAGCTGATGGTGAGACTGTTACACTGGAAGACTGCTTGGAGTCATACTTTAATAATAGGATTGAGGTCAAGCGGCATCTGGAGCGGCGCTACACTGTGGGCTCAACCAAATCAGTGGACTCGATAGCCAAAGGCTGTACGACACATGTCGAGACCATTGAGGTTGGCTCACCCTTGTCGCCAGCTTCAAGCCAGTCACATTCTCCGCTGGACGATGTCACACCAGTGGCGTCGCTGACGGAAGTGGTCGACTCGGCTCCCCCTCCATACCGACGGAGCAGCATCGTTCAGGAGCGATTTATTCCCGGCGATGAAAATGCTCAGGACGGTACGATCAGCTCTCAAAGGAGGGGCTCCTACAGGAAGGAGGTCATGATGCCGGCGTGGCAGTTTTTCAGTCTCATACGTAAGTTCTACCTGGTATGCGCGTTACGGAAGTGCTGACCTGAGTATAGCATGGTATACGGACAACACCCCGACAAACGACGCCCAAGTCGCCGCGCACTTTTCTTCGAAGCGACCAATCCTTGGCATGTGTCTCAAACGCTATTCCATGACACCCACTGGAAAAGCAGTACGCCTCAATACATTCATAGACATTCCGACCGAGATAGGGTTGCCCCATTTCATTCAGGATGACAGTATGGAAGAAGAAGGCCCCATCTACGGAAACTTCAAGTTGTCTCTGCAAGCCATGGTCTGCCATCGAGGCACCTCAGTCGATTCGGGGCACTATATATCGATTGTTAGAGGTACCAGTGCTGGTGCGCCTCCAGCCAGTTCTCATGGTTCGGACCAGGAGGCAGGTCCTTCTGATGCCTCCAGATACTGGATGCGGTTTGATGACCTGGCGAAAGAGCGAGTAACACTAGTGGACATCGAACAGGCCTTGAAACACGAGTCGCCGTACCTCTTGTTCTACCAGATCTTACCTATCAATGAGGATGCTGCGGCAGCCAATCTGTTCGATAAACCGCCTTCTTCTGAGCTATCGACGGACTCTCGAGATATGGAGAACGCCAGCATGGCGCAGAAGCCACAAAATCTGTCTCTGGATGATATCAGTGGTGCTCGCGCGGAGGGATACGCTTCAGGTCGGCCTAGTTTCGAAATCACTGGCCCCGATGGCGCAGATCCTGCCCCTATGGATCACAATAGCAGAAAGCAGAGTGTGGCGTTTTCTGAAGTTTTTGATCCGACCTCTATGCAGTCATATGCGCCGACTTCGCCGCGACTTACCCCAAGAGATGATGATGGCAGGGCCTCGTTCTCATTTTCTCGACGCAGTTCGAGGCAGACAAGAAGCAATCCAGGCAGTCGTGCAGGGAGCCAGGCTAGCGAGAGCAGAATCAGCACAACCTTCTCACGGTTCACCGGGCGACGCAGCCGAGAGAAGTTCACCAACGATGGAGTCTCTGAAGGCGAAATGGACGAGTTGACGGAGAACGAACTGGGACCGACGGAGAAATTTAGTCCTCCTAGAGGTGAGCGCAAGGACAAAAGCCCCCGACGGATGAGGGACTCCGAGCGAGTCAGAGACAAGCTGAAGGACAAATCTCGGGAGAAAATTGGACGGAAGCTCGACCGGGAGTGTGTTGTAATGTGACGGTGTAGGTGGTTATGACGATCCGAATGTTTGATTCCACATGGGCTTCGCTTACCTTTCAATTATTTGCTATGGGCCCAGGCTGCATGTTTTGAAGGACAAGGGGATTGATACCCGGGCATGTTGCATGTTTGTGCTTTCAGCTCAGTCTTTGTCGGTTGAGGGTTTGCATCGGCGTTCAGTAGATTGCATAGCGACCTAATAGAGTAGTGATAGTTTGCAAGCATGCTTATGATTATAATCCAACCAATACGAAACTCCGAGGGTTTCTATTGTTTTCAATTGGTTAGATATGTGGCCAATAGTATATACATCGAATACTACGCAAGCGGCATCTGGTATAGAGCGTGTCTGCCTCAGGCATATGTGCCAAGGGTATCAATAGCTCCGCTTCGGGCGAGCTCATCCCATCTTCATCATCGCCCATCTCCAGCTCGCCTGGCTGCTATACCTCGTCCGGGCAGCTCCACCCAAGCTTATTGTGCGGTCGAGCAATGAAATAGGACTATTATTTACAATTGGCGCATCATGGCGCTGGAGACGTCCAGCGGTTATGTTGCTCCCAGCAACCTCACCGAGCCTGCGGACGCCGGTTTGTCCATGTTCGATGTCCGACATGTGCAGTTGCAGTTTCCACTGGCTGCGGACTTTGTCGCAGCGCAGGTCGCTAACAATGTTTTGATTCTGGCTTTGTCGACGGGACGCATCCTCCGAATAGATCTTGATACCCCGGAGGACATCGATGGTTCGTGACCTTATGACGGAGATCCTGGAGAATTAACTACACTCCCGGTGCCAGGCTGACCCGCATTTCTTAGATATCGACCTTCCCAAAAAGTCATCGGAGATAGGCGTTATACGTCGCATGTTTCTGGACCCTTCGGCGTCCCATCTGATCATCACCACTACCCTTGGCGAAAACTACTACCTCCATACCCAATCCCGACAGCCTAAGCCACTGTCGCGACTGAAAGGTGTTCCGATTGAAAGTGTCGCATGGAACCCCTCTTTACCTACGGCCTCAACAAGAGAGATACTTTTGGGCACGACGGATGGCCAGATATGGGAGGCCTACATTGAACCATCTACCGAATTCTACCGCCGTGAAGAGAGATATGCGCAGGCCATCTACAAGACAACGGAAGGGTCTCCTGTCACAGGGATTTGGGCGGAGATAATACCTACAAAGCCCGAGTTCAGACGGGTGCTAATAGCGACTCACGGCAAGTTGCTGTGTTTTTCAGGACGCACGGGAAGGTACGGGAGAGAAGGTGGGAGTCTCGTCTACGCTGATCTATTCCAACGCGAGGCGCCTGTAAGCCATGAGATTCAGAAGTCTTCTAGCGCGGCACCATCAGCACTGGCTATCTCGCCTATTGTTCCAGAAGGCCAGAATGCGACTGGCCAGCCGGAAAATGAATTCGCATGGCTCAGTTCGCAGGGTATCTATCATGGGCAACTTCCATATGCGCCACAGAAACTCACACAACCATTTGAAAGCTCAACCATGCTGCCGCGGTCTTTGTTCCCGGCCAGTGAATCTGCGCGCGGAGGCAAGAAGCTTATACAAGATCCAATAACTGCCATGACGTTGTCCCAATGGCACATTCTAGCCCTTGTTGAAGGCAGAGTTGTTGCTGTGAATCGTATGAATGATGAGATTGTCTACGATGAAGCAGTTTTGGAACCGGGACAGAGTGCTTTGGGCCTCTTGACGGATGCGATGCAGCACACTTACTGGCTGTTTACCAGCCAGGAAATCTTCGAAATCGCAGTCGAGGACGAGGATAGAGACGTTTGGAAGGTATTCCTACAGAAGGAGATGTTTGACGAAGCTTTGCAGTATGCCCGTACTACAGCGCAAAAGGATGCTGTTTCCACCGCCTCAGGAGACTTCCTCGCCAGTAAGGGCCGTTATCTGGAGGCGGCCAAGGTCTGGGGCAAGAGCAGCAAAGGCTTCGAAGAGGTCTGTCTGACTCTGATCAACCGAGGCGAGCATGATGCGCTGCGGAAGTACCTTCTTGGGCAGCTTTCTACGTATAAGAAGTCCTCGTCGATGCAACGGATCATGGTTGCCAGCTGGCTTGTCGAAGTATTCATGACGAAGTTGAATTCGCTTGATGATAACATCGCCACCAAAGCAGAATTGGCGGAGGGAACGAGCACGGAAGAAGTCAAGGACGAACTTGGCAGTGTCCGGGCTGAGTTTCAAGAGTTCGTCACCAAATATCGGTCCGACTTGGACAAGAAAACTGCGTATGATCTCATCAGTAGCCACGGACGAGAGGAGGAGTTGCTTTTCTTCGCCACGGCGGTCAATGACCACAACTATGTGCTGTCCTACTGGATTCAGAGGGAGAAGTGGTCGGAGGCGCTCAATGTTCTGCAACGACAGAGTGAACCCGATGTGTTTTACAAGTATAGCAGTGTTCTCATGACGCATGCTGCTGCTGGACTAGTCGACATCTTGATGCGGCAGACCAACCTTGAGCCGGAGAAGCTGATTCCTGCACTATTGAACTACAACAAAACGGTAAATGTTCCCCTGGGACAGAACCAGGCGGTGCGATACCTGAACTTCATCATTGTCAACCATCCGAAGCCATCCGCGGCGGTCCACAACACCCTGATCTCTATCCACGCCTCGAGTCCCTCGTCCTCGGAAGCCGGACTCCTCACCTACCTGCAGTCACAGTCGTCATCTCCGCCGCCATACGATGCAGACTTTGCGCTGCGTCTTTGCATCCAACACCAGCGCGTGCAATCGTGCGTCCACATTTACAGCGCCATGGGACAGTATCTCCAGGCGGTGGAGCTGGCTCTGCAGCATGAAGATATCGAACTGGCAGCGATTGTGGCAGACCGACCGGAGGGCAACGACAAGCTCCGGAAGAAGCTCTGGCTTCTTGTAGCAGAGAAGAAGATCCACCAGCCTGGGACGGGCATCAAGGACGCCATCGAGTTCCTTCGCCGATGCGAACTGCTCCGCATCGAGGATCTGATCCCGTTCTTCCCGGACTTTGTCGTCATTGATGACTTCAAGGACGAGATTTGCAGTGCACTGGAGGATTACTCGCGGCATATCGATGCATTGCGACAAGAAATGGATAACTCGGCGCACACAGCGCGTCAGATCCGGACGGAGATTGCAGCGCTGGACACGCGATATGCAATTGTCGAACCCGGAGAGAAGTGCTGGCTCTGCTCCTTGCCCGTGCTCAGCCGGCAATTTTTCGTCTTCCCGTGCCAGCATGCCTTCCACAGCGACTGCCTAGGCAAGGAGGTCCTCGACGGGGCCGGTGGCAAGAAGAAATATATCCGCGACCTACAAGCGCAGCTAAACAAGGGGACATTGGGAGCGGCGCGACGAGAAGAAATTGTGCGGGAACTGGACGGGCTGATTGCAGAGGCCTGGTAAGAGTGCTCTATTCTATTTCTGTTTTCATTTTTACTAACACTACCGACCACAGCGTCCTCTGCGGCGATCATGCCATCAAGCAGATCGACAAGCCATTTGTTGCGGAATTGAACGGGCCCGATGACTGGGCATTGTAGTTGCCTTGAGCGTGGAGAGCACGTTCCTCATCCAATGCATGCATGTCCTTTTTTTCTTTACTGTTTTACTCGGTAGCTTTTTTTTTCGACCGTTAGCTACTGACTTATCTACCTACTTACTGTCTGTCCCTGTCGTACGATGGCGCCTTGCATTTATCAGCGTTCGAACGAATCATACCTCATGCTTTTCTATTTATTTCCCGGGTATATATAAAGCTGCAATATCATTACCATGGACATAAGCAGAGCACCAGCACCAATAAGCGTAGCAGTACTCCCAAACCATACTTGTTGCAGACCCTGTCGTAGTGACAATTACTACAGTAGTCCAGTCCGTCCTCGTGTTCTAGAGCCGAGTCGAGTCGAGTCGAGTCAAGCAGAGCAAGCAAGAAACAGCTAACCAACCAACCCCACCCCCTGTCTTCAATTCGTCTCTGCAAAAGCACCGACACACGGACACACGGACACACACACACACACACACACACAGACACACCTTGCTGATCCCCTTTTTCTCCAGTGTGTGTGACTGCTCGTGTGGGTGGGTGTGTGCTTTGCTCGGCGTAACGCCTGCCCAGCTAGCTGCATCCGACAGGGCTGTGCGGGTGCAGCTTGCAGCACACTCTGCATATTAGCCAGCCAGTAGATGGATATCTTGCAACCTACAAATCTCCACTTTTTTTTTCTTTGATTCCTGCACCTGCAGTGCGTTTCGTGACGAGTTCTGTGCTGCGCTGCGCTGGTGGTGGTGGTGGTGAGTGTGGTGAGTATTGCTGCATCCAAGCGCCGGGGAGGGAGGATCCTTGTTTTCTGCTTACTTTGTGTATAGATGGGACTTAGGATATATTTTTGGGTTATAGGTACTAGTAAGTAGATTAAGTAGATATGTTGGTTACTTACTTTGGGTTATAGTAAACATTATTAGTACTAGCATGTATATCTATATATAAACAGAAAGATGTGTAGGAAATATATTTAGTTACGATACTACATAGCGAAGAAATACATAGGTAATGAGTAGCATAGCATGGCATAGCATAAGTCCATATTATACCAACACCAGTAATATTTGTATTTATACACTGGTAAGTAAGTAAGTAGCAGGTAGGTAGCACTACATCAATATGTTTACTTGGTAGTTATGCACAGGTACAGAGTAGCATACCTACCTCCACATACATCACCACAAACATATCCAAGTACTTCGAAGTAGTATCCTGGACTACATACATATCCTCATGTTGTGTTCCGTGATAGTACATATGATCCATCTGTAGTATGTACGATAACTCACATACATACATACATACGTACTACATACGGTGCATGTCTTGCTCTACTCATCCTGTCTGGTCTGATCCATCTCATTGTCTGAGACACAAACGGAAGGGATAAAGGAGGGGTGTGCAGCAAGCAAGCAGGCAAGCAAGCACCCCATACTCCATACATGATGAGTCTTGTGCGGGATTATCTTGCATGTTCATGTCCTTCTTTCTTGGATTGAGTGAGTGAGTGTGTGTGTGTGTGGGATGTAGGATATGGATTCTGGGGTAAGATAGTTGTTGAGAATAGGTGAAACAGAAACAGAACCAGAACCAGAACCAGACTGGGATTTGAGATATGAGTTAGGGTAACTAACTATCTTTCATACTGAATAAACTACTAGTAGATAGGTGGAGATAGTTTATTATCCCAGACATAACAAATATCTAGATAATCATCAGTTAGTTACTACACAGTTAAGTCTTTTGTGTCATTTCTTATTCAAGTAACCAACTAGAAGAAACCACAACCACAACCACAAATCTTCTGTAATTACTCAAAAATGAGTCCTCGGTTCCTCTCTTCCGTCCGTTTCTCAACGGCGATCCCACTCCACATCCCCATCCCCATCCCCCATCCCCAGTTCTGCCTGCGGTTGTTGGTTCCGGGTGAGAAGCAAGGAGGTTCGTCCAGTTTTCGTCCTTCTTTTTCCTCCCCGAACTTTCATCCCGAGTTGCAGTAAGTAGGTAGGTAGGTAGGTCTTGAATCTGGGGAAATCTCATGCACACATACATTCCATACCATCCCAGTTTCAGTTTTTGTTCGTTGAACGGTTCTTTCTTTATTTGTAACTACGTAACTAACTAACTAGTTACTCTAGTAAATAGTTAAAACACAAGACAGGGTAATATCCATCCAATCCCAATCCCTCTCTAACCGCGGAACTACCACCTTAAATTCCCCTATTAGTGGGATCTCACAAATCACTAAATTGCTTTTTTTTCCCTTTTCTGTTAGGTGGATGATGGGTGGATGGATGGATGAATATGAACGGCAACTGATAGCGATGTGACAAAAAGTATAATTAAGTGGCTGGGCTTTAGTTCACCTATCTAGTTAATAGATAGTGGTAGTAGTAGTGGTAGTTTGATTGCGAATTGGACTTGGCCTGTGGCACTTTACTGTTGATCGTGCGGGGTAAAGGTGCCACTAACTAGTAAGTAGGTTTTGACTATCTGTTTATCTGTTTATCGATTTTATTGTATTTATCTTGTCTGGGAAGGTTGGGATAGGTTGGTGGCGATGATCGAATCATTTCCGTATGGGGTGATGATGATGGGTTGCTTTTGTGTCGCGTGCTCATTCATGGATTATGCTGTGCTCATTGCTGGTTGGGGTTGGGATTGGGGTAGTTGGGGTTTAATGATGGCGATGAGGGTTGAAGGGTAGTGATTTGATTGATCGGATGCCAGTGGGTTATCTGCCGATAGGAGTGATACGGGGTAAAGTATTTACTTGGTACTCCGTATGGAGTACTACTGACGGATATATGGATATATGGATGTATACTATGAATCTTGTAATCTATCTGGTGGAGATGAGATATGTCCGTTTGGGAGTGATTGGTCTCATTATAGTTACTTGGAGTTTTCTATGGTTGTTTCGTTTGAGATTGTGTCTGTATCTGTATCTGTAGCTGGCTGTATACTAATTTAAAGCATAGTGATAGAGATAGATAGATAGATAGTACTGTTCTGCAAATGTCGAGACCATCACCTCCAATGGTGCAACATCCCTCCATCCATCCCCAAATCCTGGTACTAGATAGATAACCTTTTCCAACCTTCCTCTGCCTCCTAACTGGCTCCCTCTCCCAGGTTCCACCGATACACCACACCCGCCCAGAACAAGCGACGATAGGGTGTTCCAGCCATCAGCACCGCCCGTGTTTCATTCGGCAGATAATCATCCCGATAAGGGGGAGAAAGCAGACAGTATCTAAGGTTCAGCACCTGGGGTTTCCATGAACCTAGTCATTGTTGAGACGGAAGGTTGGCAAGTTCCAGGCAGTCAGGATTATCCAGTTCATCCACTGGGTCACGCTATCCCGGTTCCATGGGAGAGATGAATGTTAGCGGGAAACCTTGGGGATGGCGTGAGAGATTGGCAGAGACAGAGAGAGAGAGAGATAGCCAGGTGACCTGGATCACCTGAGAGGCTAAAAGTAAATACTTTGTACAGTAAGTATGGGCCTGAGACTGGGGCTGGGCTGGTATTTGGTCATTCGGGAATCCTGGGGCAGAGATGGAACCAGATGGAATCTCATGGAAGATTTAAACTATTCTCTCATACGAAGAGTGTGTCAGCCACCATCAGAGATTCAAAGGAACCGAGAAGGATGGTGGATGGTGGATGATGATGATGATGAGGTGGTGGTGATGGTGGTGGTGGTGTGGTGGTAAGGCCAGGCAGCTTGCTTGGGGGGCCGCTGCTTATCGCGTGATGCGTGCAAAAACAGCCACCTGGCAGAATGAATAGCGGAAAACCTAGTTAATGGGAAGGAATTCCTTAGTCAGAAAGGAACCATCCATCCATCCATCCACGTATGCCTGAGGTCTGGTTCTTTTTGTTGTACTCCGTCCTCCGTACCCTTTCTTTGAGGGTGACCACCTCATCATCGTCCCTTGGCTGCCTCCTGCTAGCTGCCCATCGGCGTGTCGGAGACAGGCAAGCCTGCATGATCGAGACACGCAACCCTTTGCCAGCTGCAAGGACGAAACCTTCCCGACACTCGCTCGGGAGGCGGTCAGCCAGGCACTAATGCACCTTGGTCCTTCACCGCCAGCATTGCTACTTTTGCTCATGCAGCCCCGGAAAGATTCTTGCCAGCCACGGGGCGCTGCCAGTGCCTTTTGTGTTGGCTGTTATGGAAGTTAAGAGTCATGTTATGTTTATTGATGTTGATTATAGTTATGTGTTCATTTATTTGACTTTGTATTTTTCTTTTACTCAATTTCATCATTTAGTCTCCGATCATGTACCTCCGTTTTATGTATGTAGGAAGAGGGATATTTCCATCCAGTCACCTCGTACCAGTTGTACACAACCTTATCCACTACTTACTACTTACTACTACATAGTAAGTAATAGTAATAGTAAAAGTACCATAACGGAGGATAATAATTATTATCTTGCCGACAGTACAACCCGAAACGAATCATTAGCAAATTCGCATACTCTGCTACATACCTCCTGTCATATGTTCACTCCATATACTCCATGATACCAAAGCCAAAGGAAGAAAAGGGAAAAACAAATAACCAAAGTCTCCACCCCGATCGATAGTACGATACGATTGCCAGATCAGAAGTTGGCCCAGGAGTCTGTCTGTCTGTCTGTCTGTCTGAGACGTAATCTCCCTCCTGCCTTCCCGTTTAACCCCGCAAATCCTGTTACAGATGATGGGCCGAGTTGAAGGAAATCCCGCGCGGTAAACAGGATCAACGTGGATCACGCAGGTTTTGTGCAACAACAATAGACGTTGTTGATTGATTGATTGATTCAACATGGTGTATAGTTTCCCTGGATTATCTGGCTGGCCTGGACCGAACCACACACATACACCTCTCTTTCTCTCCTAGCTGTGACTGACTGACTCAATTGTCTTTTATTTTCTTCTTACTTTGAACCTTAGGTACTAATCCTTTGGGGAGAAAAAAAAGGTACCTGATGCGGTGCTGAACTTTTAGGTACTTACCCTTACTCAGATTGTTAATGTTAGGTACATACTCTGTTGGTTTACTACCTCGTCGGGTAGATATGATTTTTTACTTTCTTACATACTTTTTTTTCTCTGCATGGGCAAGTCAGAAAAAATAGAGGAAATTATTCAGTCATATCATTATCTCTCATATGATCGGTGATACCTGAGTGATACCTGAGTATCGTCAGTACTACTAGTTACTACGGAGTAGTAGCAGAATCTACTGCCACCTCTCGGAACCTAGGCTTTAGTCTCCTCTGATGATCGGCGCGCAGCAATATCCGTATCTACCGACAACAGCTTCTTCCCCATACTAACTACTAGTCTATAGTCCACTGTGTCACAAGTTAGTTAAACTCGACGAATGTCCGGGATCGTCCTCCCGGGCCTTTTTTCAGAACAGCCGACCCAAACGAATGGTCAATTATTGGCCACGACTTCGCGCCAGTCGTTGCTTGCTTGGGGCTGGCGTCATGCAGCCTGGAAATAGTGGCCACTGGGGGATTCTGTCTGATTGGATCCTGAGGGATCCACTGTAGCGTCACTCAGACTGTTGTGGCTGCCCGCCAGGCCAACTCCAGGCACCCCCCGGATCCGTATTTGTTACTTTACTTAACTTACTCACTTAGTAATCATGCTGGGCGCAACTCTTGATTGGATTTGTTCCCGCCGCCGGCCGAGGACGGAAGAGTCAGTGGAAATGATTAGTATGCTCTGAAAATGGAAACATGTTAGCGATACGTAGTCTAGGTGCAATCGTCGCGTGTCCAAGTGTGTTTCTTGTCTCCATCGTCACCGGTTCCTCTGGTGGGGTGGTTTCTCCCCGTTTACTGTTAGATCATAGATGGTGGATGGATGGGTTTAGGATCGATCTGATCTGGTCTTGGTCTGGTCTGTTGGGGAGAGAAGAGGGGAAATGAGGGCGGGCCATTCGGTGATCATTACCTTAGCTCTGGGTTGATGATGAAGACGATGGCTATGATGCTAATGATGTTGGGTATTACGAAAACCGCCGCCCCCTTGTTTGTGTTGTTGACTGACTGGTCTCAACGGAAATAGTTATACCTTGGATGCATTATTTCCGTCATTGTCAATGTTTTGGAGGGATTGGCTGGTGGAAGAAGGGAATGATGTAGTTATCTCCCGGAATATATTGATTGTACTTTGTGTCTGTCTATCAGGGAACATAGCAAGGTGGATGATAAGTGATGAGGATAGATAACATAGCTCGGATGGGGTGGGAGAGACCCTGCCGGGACCTGCAGGAACTTAGCTTAGCCGGTAGACTTGGTGCTGCCTTGGTGCCCAGGGCGTACCCTCCATGTCCCCTGCTCAGGCAGTAGTCGACTCACGCCGTCTTTGCTTGGGAGGTAACTCTAAACTGGCGCTTAACTTGACTTTTGATTCTACTGCACCAATTGAAAAGTTATGAATATATATTAACTTTTTGTTATCTAATGGCCATCAACAATTTACATAAATTAGTTCAAAGTTAGTGATTGATTAATTACTTTAATGTGTACGTAGTTAGTTACTGAGGGAGGGAACTTACAGTCAGCAGCCGTTTAAGTTATTGACAAGCTGGCCGCAATCAGGACAGGTTACATGTACCTGAGTCTGGGGGGGGGGGGGGGGGTTGCGGCACCTATACTCCGTAGTTACTACATAGTAATACATTTCCCCAACAAGCAAAAATGAAAAGAGAAATGCCTCGGGGAATTGACGCATTCAATGACACCTGCCTCCCAGCCCGTCATTTTGGAATTGCAACAAATCTCGTCATTAAAATGCCAAATGACAGTATCATTATTGACAAAGCAGTAATGGAATTGAGACGACCTGGCAACAATGGCAGGGGATGACTCAAAGGGAGACACAGCGGAAAAGTGGAGGAATGTTCTGGGCTGCTGAGGTGATTGATAGGCAGCCAGGAGAATAACGCCTTCGTAATCAATGACTGGAACGCTACTGAAACATTACTTGGTGCCATTCAACGGCTTCTCGGAGGCAGTGATTCCCGTGCTCAACTATCCATAGATATTACTCCGTAATACCTGTAAATAACTGGGAAATTTATTATTCTTATTACAATAATAATTAATACTACTAATAGGTTATTGGATTATTGATTGACTCTGGTGCCTTTTGGTAACTGGATAACCAAGTTTGAGAGATAGGGGGGAAAGACTCAGGACTTGAGTTGAGTCAACCAGACAGAGTCGGTACCGCAAAAAGGGTCGGCTCTTCCATGACGCTGCGGGTTATGGAGAACCTTCCAGGACAGGCAATGCTGAATCACCGCCGCGCGGATTCTTCTGGCGACGGACAAGAGAGGAAAAGGGAAGGGAAAACAGTCATTCAGGGGGGCGCAGAAAGAGGGAGTGGAGTCGAATGGCCGGATGCGGCCTCTTTTTCTCGACCTGCCGCCAGTCAGGTGGGTCGGCCGGAAGATCGCACGTACAGTATTGTTACCACTTGACCACGAGGGAAATGGGGGTTGCCGGGTACCATCCTCGCAGGCACTTGGCCCGATTGGGGAGTCTGGAGTATGCATGAGTATGCATGATTACCGTAATAAACACCCGTCATTGGCCAGCAGGCCACCCACCCTGGAACCAAGGCGACGTAGGAGGTTCTCGCTCGTTCGCCCACTTTCTCGCCATCGCTGCAGGTTGAGTGGGTTTGTTTCCCTTTCCCTCCCCCAAGGTTCCGAGAGTCGCCCCCCTCCGACTAGCCGTGCCTAGGAAATACTAGGAATATGGAAGGGCATAGAGTCCAGTCGTCACCCTCCCTCCGTTTCCACCCTCCCCCCCCCGTACTTTTACGAATTACCGTACCTACCTAAACCCCATCTGATCCCAACTGCTATCATCCGGAACCTCCTTATCCCTATCGCTCGCTCTTGCTCATCCATCCTCTCCACCTCACCTTCCTACTCACACCTTCACTCTCACCTTCCTCTTCACTTCCTCTCCATCTTCTTCTCCTCCTTTCTCTCTCTCCTACTCTTCTCTTCCTCTCTTCCTTCCTATCCTTATCCTTCTTCATCTCTTCGTTCCCGCGCTCCCAGCTACCAATCCATTGCTCCTTCTACATCCGCGCTTCCCCAATCAGCCTTCCCAACCCAACCCATCAACTATCGCCACCCCATCATCTTCCTCTTCGCCTCACCACCTCTATCGCGACACGATACAGTACTGCTTGCAATCCTCTGATTAGGTCACATTGCCAAAGATTTCCCCACTAGATCTACTTCAGAACAGAGTACTTGTCCTGTCCTCTACGGTCTAATCTGCCTCGCCGCTGTCTTCCTGCCTGGCCTTCCGAACACCCTGCGTGACTCATCTCAAAGCCAACCACGTCGAGAGTTCCTCGGACCCACGAGTCCCTCCCTCAATCCAACCGTCTCAAAGCCGCGTGCTACGTTTCAATTGCAGAGATACGTGTTGAGGGTTTTGCGTCTGCTGTGAGGTCGACTTCTGCTTAGTTGTCCATCCGTCCGCCGCGCAACCTGGGCCGGGTGCTGGTATTCGGTTCTTCATCTCGTTCTCCTACGGGCCTGAAGATCCATCATACCAGTTGTCCAGAGCCCCGCTATACCTCCTATATAGTTCCTCTTTCTCAAATCTCCGGACTATATATCATCGGGCGACTTATGACCTTATAGCCGTCGGTCCCATCCTCGATCACTTCCCCTCCCCCCTGAGTCACGACCCCTCTCCGGCCCTTCAGCCTGGTGTTCGAAGGCCTTTTTCAGTTACGAGCCTTGTTTGTTTATACATTTGGTGTTCAAGTCACGATATTACGCAGCGTTATTCTCCTTTGGTCCTTCTATTTGGTGTCCCATTGCCGGACATAGTCATTCACTTCGACACATTCTTTCTCTCGACATACTTCCGTTCCTCGGGCTTCGCGCCTTTACACCTGTGAAACGATATACAGATGCACTCATAACAGTCTTTACTATTTCCTAGTCGTCGTCAATCACCCTTCCCCCAAGGGTATCTGCACTGCGCTTCGCGCCTACTCGTCGTCATCATTTTCTTTTCGTTTGTCACCATATCCTCTCTTCCCGGTATTTATATGAAACTGTGACTCAACAAGCCGGTTGTTTTCTTGTCTTCTTTCTACTCTATTCTCCTTCATCTTTCTACTTCTATTCTCGGTGGTCGAGATCTGCTTGGCATTTGACCATCTTGGTTGTCTGGTCGTTTGAATTATTCTTGCATTCGTCTTGCGATAACCGCCATCGACTGCTATAAACCACTGGAACGAACATCTCTGGGAGAACATCGTCTAGTCCGAGTATATATCAGATATGGAGTGCCTAAAGAACAGCTTTGTGGAGGGTCAGCTCCTTGATGGGCGCTTCCGAACAGTCGCCCCTCTGAACCACGGTTCGTTTGGCATGGTCTTCCTTGCTATCGACACCAAGACCGGCCAGGACGTTGCTATCAAGTGCCTGACCAAGGGTGGTGCCTCGCCGTACGATGCTCGTTTCGAAGAGCTCGACTGCCACCGACGTCTTGCTCACCACCCCAACATCGTCAACCTCATCCATTCGTTTGAGACAGATGCTCACATGTACATCGTTTTGGAGTACTGTTCCAACGGCGATCTGTATGAGGCTATCAGGCTCAACCGTGGCCCCTTGGAGACGGAGCACGTGCGTGATTTCATGTTGCAGCTGGTCAGCGCTGTCGAGTTCATGCACGCCAATGGCATGTACCATCGTGATATCAAGCCAGAGAACATCTTCTTGATGCAGGATGGATCCATGAAGCTGGGTGACTTGGGTTTGGCGACCCGGGATACCTGGAGTCATGAGGCATGTGTTGGAAGTGACCGCTACATGGCTCCGGAGCAGTATGACCCTTCAACCACTGGCTACTCTCCCGCCAAAGCCGATATCTGGGCGATTGGTATTTGCCTACTCAACGTTCTCTTCGCGCGGAACCCATTCGCTACCCCGACCGAATCCGATATCCTTTTCGCGGACTATGTCCGCGACCGCCAATCACTCTTCGACATCTTCCCCAACATGTCCCAGGATACCTTTGAGATCCTGAGATTTGCTTTGGCTATCGACCCCGAGAAGCGCTCCCTTTCTGGTATTCGTGATTCCATCATGCGGACTGTTTCCTTCACTACCGATGACGAAGCATTGGATGAGTTCTGCACCGATGACCGCGAGGTCGTTCCCGCAAGTGCCAACCGCGAGCCTCTCCGGACGCCTTCCATCCAGAGCCCGCACATCAACCAGGGCGATTCGTTCCCATGGGCCAAAGCCCTCCAGGCCAGCCCCCCTCAGCAGATCCGGCAGCTGTCGGCTATTCCCGACAACGAGAGTTACTCGGAGGATCTCTTCCCTCCTTCGGAGATTGCTGGCACATCGTGGTTCTCCGTTCACCAGGGCACTCCCTCCATGGCATCTGTTCTGGAGTCTGCTCTTGGCGATTCGTTCCGGCCATCTGCTTTCCGCAAGGGTGAGCTGCGTTTCCCCCCACCATCGGATCCGGTGCCCATCACCGGTTCTCTTCCCAGTCATACCACCAAGCCTTTGCCTTCTCTTTCTATGGTCTTTGGTAAGAAGAAGGACGAGCAGATCTCCAAGAGCTGGAGTGATCTGTGGGACGAGGAGGAGGAGTCTGAGACTGAAGACCTGGCTTTCCAGCAGCGGCGCGAGCAGAACTCTCGTAGCTGGAGCCACGAAAGCAGCAGCCCTGTCGAAGGCAACGGTCCTGAACTCTGTGGCCCGCTGACAGGCCTTCGGGATTCTGTGACTCCTTCTATGCTTAACGTTCGCGCTCAGCAACCCAAGCCTTCGGTACCATCAGAGGAGACCTCTGGGAAGTCATGGAATATTCCCATGGCCCCCACTGGCCTCAAGACTCCCCCTCGCACTCCGGACAGTCCCCCGAAGAACTCCAACAATGACAAGTGGGCTGCCCTGGGTGACCGGAGGAGGAACTACAAGTCTCCCGAGGCTTCACTCGGACGCAAGAAGTTCCCTCTCAACATGAGTTGGAGGAAGGACTGGGGCTTGGGATCTTCTGGCTTCGACTACGGCTCTTGGGCTGCCAAGAAAGAGGCCTCATCCTTCCAAGATCGCCGCCGACGCCCCTTCCAGGAGAAGGGACGGCGTCGCGATGCCTGGGAATCACCGAAGTCTGCCAACGTGAAGGTTCCCCATGACTACGATGGCAGTATCGATGAGGATCTCGACCTTGTCGGTGGCTGGCATGACCTCCATCTTTAAGAACCATGCCTCCTGCCTTCGTTCCCGCTCTGCTCTAATCCGATTCCTGTTCGTTGTACCGACCAAATTACCCTGACAAGAGTGGCAAATTCCAAACAACTTTATCTACCGACAACCAAACTTCTCCGGCTTGTTTTCTTCTCTTTTTTCTACTTTTTGATTGATTTTTGAAGCGTGTCTCTCCACTCGGCTTAGATGCACCCGCGTCGGGTGCATCCGGCAGCCTTATATTCAATATTTTATTTTCCCCTCTTCTTCTCTACCGTTACGATAGAATGTTTGTATTCGGCAAGCCTCTCACGTCGGAGGTGCTAGTGTTTTGATTCCTATCCTGTATAATATAGCACTCTTCGAAGGAGCAAGCATGGGGATGGGCGGTCGAAAAGTGACTCATCTGCTGGATTTGGGAGGGATTGTTTTGTGGAGGATATGATTTTGTTTCTCTTCTCTTGCCCCTTTCCATTCTTTGCACAATGTCAACCTTTCAACTTTTCTTACCCAAAAAATTTGGTTCAACCTGACGGGGGCCTGGACGACGAGGCAGGTGGAGGACGATGGCAGGTGGTTGGAGGCCACCAGGGATCTACGAAGATAACAATGAAAAAAAAAGAAAGTCATGGAAAAGCAAGACTACTATGACCATTCATCCACATCTTGAGGCGACTGTGCCGACCGGGCGCAGGACTGGTTTCTTTGTACTGTAACTAGCTGGTATGGTGAGAGTGATACGAGGATACTGGGGATAGCCAGAGGAATCTACTATGATTCGATGTGGATAACTGCCTTGCCTGCGTGTAAACCGAGTAGACCGGATATTTCCATAGTAGTCATCGTCAGGCTAATGTAGATTGCCAGCTGTTCTGGTGTGACTCACGGCCTACTACACCGTAGGTTTGTCCCCGTCACCTCCTAGTATAGTCTAGTCAGTAGTAGTTAGTAGCGAATGATGCCACTATGTTTAGTGCCAGTGGCGGGAGAGAAGGCGGTGGCAGGTCTCCGTTCCAGACCGCCGCGGGAAAGAATGGAGAAAGACACACTCCCTCAACTAATCTATCTTCGCGCGACAACGCCATCTCACACCCGGTGAGCAAAGAGGCGGTGTTTCTGGCGCGTGGCCTCTTGCGCGACTTGTACTACCTACTTTTCCGACCTCCTTTGCTTTCCCGGAGGTTGTTGTTTCAACCATTCATTCATTTATCCTCGGATTTTCTTCTGATCCGTGTCATTACGATCCCCTGAAGGGGTCGCGCCGCCTACTGATAAGGAGCGAACTAACTTTACTACTGTCTTCGCTTTCTTTCCCTCCCCCTCCCCCCTCTCCAGTCTATAATAGCTACTACATACACATATCAGTCCCTACAGTACATAGTGCAATGAATCTTGCCCGAAATACATCATAATAATCACATCGACCTCCTATCCTATCTTACGTGCTACTTGTTCGGAAGACAGAAAAGAAAGAAAGGTCGCATTGCGACTACAGTCTCGGTCAAAAAATGACCACCAGCTGGACCGCCACACAATGGATTCCCTGGATGACTTTAATCTCCACCTGGATTGACGGCACAACCGCAGACCCCAGTCAGACGATATGTCCCGCGCCGAGTTGGCAAGTCGCCGAAGCCGAGTTCATCCAGTGGCCTCAGTGTCCAGAGACGCGATGGGAAGCGGACCCGGCTACTTCTCTCTCCGCGGCACAACAACAACCGTTGCTGAAAGCACCTGAGGAGACGCTCTCCGTTGTGTCTGTTTCCATGGCTGCTTCTTCCGAGAGCAGTGCGCGGCCCGACCATGAGCTTGATACCGAGTCGCCGCTCGATAATGCGAATTTCCTGTCGTTTGAGGATTGGAAGAAGCAGAATCTGGCCAAGGTTGGCCAGTCTGCGGAAAATGTGGGCGCGCGCGGCGCTGCTGCTGCTGCTGGGAAGGAAGGGAGGCGGCGTCCCACGGGGATTAATAATGCGTTGGATTCGCTGGGTGAGGATGTTGAGATTGAGTTGGATTTTGGTGGCTTTGGGGCTGATACGCCGGAGGCGGCGAAGCCGACGTCTTGGGGGGCTCGTGTATCGACTGGGGTTACTGAGGAGCGGGGTTCTGTCGGGGATGTGGATTCCCTCGCGCAGGGTGTGCCGCCGGCTGGGGGCGTGTCGAGGTCGAAGGATGCGGGGACGACGTGCAAAGAAAGGTTCAATTATGCGTCGTTTGATTGCGCTGCGACGGTGCTGAAGACGAATCCGGAGTGTACGGGGTCGTCGTCGGTGTTGATTGAGAACAAGGATAGCTATATGCTCAATGAGTGTCGGGCCAACAACAAGTTCTTGATTTTGGAGCTGTGTGATGATATCCTGGTTGATACCGTGGTGTTGGCCAACTATGAGTTTTTCAGCTCCATCTTTCACACCTTTCGCGTCAGTGTGTCGGATCGGTATCCGGCGAAGTTGGACCAGTGGCGCGAGCTGGGCATCTACGAGGCGAAGAATACGCGCGAGGTTCAGGCATTTGCGGTGGAGAATCCGCTTATTTGGGCGCGGTATGTCAAGATCGAGTTTCTCACGCATTACGGGAATGAGTTCTTTTGTCCGCTTAGCTTGATTCGCGTGCATGGAACGACGATGCTGGAGGAGTATAAGCATGATGGGGAGGTTAGTCGGACAGACGATGTGGTGGCTGATGAAGAGCCCGAGCCTGCACCGGCGGCTGCTGAGATAGAGACAATCCCTACGGTGGATGTTGCACCTGCAGCAGGCACGGCAGAGCAGAAGGTGGACGAACAGACGCCAGAGACTTGCCCTAACCCCGGTCCGGTCGTTGATGAGACGGTCATGATGCAGCTTCTGGGGGTGCTTGAGACATGTAGTATTCATGACTCGCCAGCTGCTGGGGCTGAAGGGACTCAGACGTCTCTCAATCGCCCGCCAGCTACTGACGCTGCGCCTCCCAAGGGCGACGATACTGCGTCTGTTGGTAACGAAGCTCCGGCCAAGGAGGCAGGGGAGCAGAAAGTAACTGTCAGCCCGAATGTTGACTCGGTACCTTCGTCTGCTACAACGGCAGGTCCAGAAACTACATCACAAGGTGAAGCCGATAGCCGGTCTACTGGCTTCACCAAGGAAGAGCAAAGCGTAGCCGCGGAGACAACGCGGTCAACAGCAACGCAGCCTCCTTCTGCGAACCCGACTACGCAAGAGTCATTCTTCAAGTCCGTGAATAAGCGACTACAAATGCTGGAATCCAACTCCAGTCTTTCCCTACTGTACATCGAAGAGCAGTCGCGGATCTTGCGCGACGCATTCAACAAAGTTGAGAAACGACAGCTGGCCAAGACATCGACGTTCTTGGAGCAACTGAACGTGACGGTGCTTCATGAACTGAAGCAATTCCGCGAACAGTATGACAATGTCTGGAAGAGCGTAGCACTCGAATTTGAGCATCAGCGCATCCAGTACCATCAGGAGGTGCATTCGCTCAGCGCGCAGCTGGGCGTCCTCGCTGATGAACTGGTCTTCCAGAAGCGGGTGGCCGTCATCCAGAGCATCATGATCCTGTTCTGCTTCGGACTGGTGCTCTTCTCGCGCGGCGCAGTCAGCAGCTACATTGAGTTGCCAAGCATGCAAAACATGGTGTCGCGGTCGTACAGCCTGCGGTCGTCATCACCTTCGTTTGGGTCGCCGTCTGTGAGCCCGACGTCGTCGGGACGGCGCGCGGGCGGCCACCGACGCAACCTGTCCGAGGATTCTCAGGAAGATGGGCCGATTAGTCCCACACTGGCATACTCTCCACCGACACCTGTCTCTGATGTAATGAGCTCGTCGGAGGAGGCAGAGAACCACAGGGGGAACTCGTTGGCACTGCCGGAGGTGGCGCCACCAGTCCGATCGCGCAGTAGTCCGCCTGACCTCAATGGAGGCGAGGAGTCCATTGAAGAATCATCTAGCTCGGGCGAGTCATCCGTTTCTCATGGACGGAATGCCGCGGTGGCCGAGGCCTAGTGACGATGTGGTTGTGGCATGTGGAGCCCGACATGACAGACGGGTTGCATTCTGGCTGCAGGTTCAGCGCGGTGGCGATGTCTCGGCCGCGTGTTCCCAGGCCAACAGCTGCAGAAGAGCTTATTTGACTAAGTGACGAGCCGGCCGTCATTCCTGGGGAAAGTGTAAATGTGTTGGTCACGGCAGCAGCTGGTGACACCGGATAGAGTGCAGGGGGGATGCAGGGAATATGTATGTTTGTATGTACACATATTGTAGAGGAGTACGGAGTACAGCTACGCGACATGATGAGATGATGTATATACCCAAACCATTTACAGTGATTATTGAATGGACAGATAATTGATACAAATAATGTACTTAACTTCTTACTATCTAAGTGAATAGACAATGAATGACATCTTCGGGTGGTGGTAATGGAGGTGGTTGCCATGACAACAATCGACGGGTTTTTCTTGCCTTCGATTCTTATCCTCTTCCCTCCCACTGCCTTCCACTGACTCTTCCTCCACATCTCTGCTACTACAAGACTACTTGTTTCTCATATCCAGAACCAGATACCTCTATCAACAGAAAGATATCCTGAAAACAAAAAGGAACAATCAAAATGGACTCCCACCCCCTCACCGACCGCACCAACACCCACCTCGCTCAAGACACGGAGAAGTTGAACGAGCTCAAGGCCGCCCCCGCCAAGATCAACTCGATGGAATATCATCGTCAGGTGTTGCAGGGGAAGCTGGAGAATGGCGATAAGTGAGTATCAATCACCAGATATGCATGTGTTTACAGATATTGACCGTCGTAAAGGAACCAAGCAAGCTACGTCTCTCCCTCGGATGATATCATGAGTCCGTGCTCCAAGAAGTTGAGTGATTTGAAGGGCAAGCGGTTTAAGAAGTATGCTTTCTACTGTCTATAGATTACTGGTTGAAGATGATACTAATAAACTGTGTGTAGTGCCGGCAAACCCCAGTCCCTCTTCGCCAAGCTCGGCAAGAAGAATTTCGAACAGCAGTCGTCGGCCCAGAAAGAAAACACCGAGGCATGATTTATCAGATCATCTCCGGGTAAAAATAAAAGGATACATCTGTCTGTGTTTGCGCCGGTCGCAATACTCCGATTGCATGATGATCCAGTAACCGGGGTGATTCATTGCTTCTGTTGTTTTTCTTAATCTGCATTGGTTTGCTCTGGGTCGGTTGTGGTGTTTGTTGGTTCGGTTTGGATTGATTGGGTTTATGAGAAAATCAAGGCTCGATATGGGATTCGGCCACGCTTTATGCTTTTCTTCCTTTTCTTCTTACGCTTTACTTCTTACTGCTTTATTGTCATATCAATCAATCAATCAATCGGTTGATTGATAATTCTTTCATATTGATAACTCTGGATGGTTAATGAATGCAATGCGTGAATATGCTGCTGCTGACTCATCGGCCGATCAGCCGAGGCTCGGTCGGCTGCTTCTCCGCAACCTCGATTCTCCGCATTACTTGCTTCAGCTTATAACCCCATCCTCCCTATTTCACTTCCATTCTTTTTTTTTCCCTATCATATCTTATCATCCTACTTTCAATCAATCAATCAACTCTAGTATCCACAAAAGTAGTAATCTATCATGTCCGCCTCCACCCGCATCCCCGTCATCGCCCAACCCTTCGTTAGCGACCGGGCCAAGCGTACCCTCGACCAGGTACCTACCTATACTCCCTATACCTCCTTCCCACAGCTACATCCCCCAGCTACATCCCTCCCACCACCACCCCCAACAAAACCACTGATAAAGTAATAGGTCGAACAATTCGTCGAAAAAGAATGCATCCCGTCGGAACCCATCTTCCGCGCGCAACTCGGCACCGGCGCCCAGCGCTGGTCGACCTACCCAGCGATCATGGAAACGCTGAAACAGAAGGCGCGCGAACAAGGCCTCTGGAACATGTTCCTACCCAAGAACCACTTCTCGCAGGGGGCCGGGTTCAGTAACCTCGAGTACGGGCTGATGGCAGAGTACCTGGGCAAGAGCACGATTGCGTCGGAGGCAACGAACAACGCCGCCCCGGACACGGGTAACATGGAAGTGCTAGCGAAGTATGGTAACGCGCAGCAGAAGAAGGAGTGGTTGGAGCCTCTCCTTGAGGGAAAGATCCGGTCTGCATTCCTCATGACGGAGCCGGAGGTCGCCAGTAGTGATGCTACTAATATTCAGTTGGAGATTAAGAGGGAGGGGGATGAGTGGGTGCTTAATGGATCTGTATGTTCTCCTTCTCTCTCTCTCTCTATCTTGTTTTATTTGATATGTATACTGGAGAAGGGTATATGCTAACGCTGGTATATAGAAATGGTGGTCCTCCGGCGCAGGCGACCCGCGATGCGCCGTCTACCTCGTAATGGGCAAGACGGACCCGACGAACCCAGACCCGTACAAACAACAATCCGTGATCCTGGTGCCGGCGCACAACACCCCGGGGATCACGGTGCACCGGATGCTAACCGTGTACGGGTACGACGATGCCCCGCACGGACACGGGCACATCACATTCAAGAACGTGCGGGTGCCGGCCTCCAACATCGTTCTCGGTGAAGGCCGCGGCTTTGAGATCATCCAAGGCCGGCTGGGTCCCGGACGTATTCACCACGCGATGCGGACGATCGGGGCGGCCGAGAAGGCCCTGGAGTGGATGATTGCGCGGATCAACGACGAGCGGAAGAAGCCGTTCGGGCAGAATCTGTCTTCGCATGGGGTGATTCTGGAGTGGGTGGCTAAGTCGCGGATTGAGATTGATGCGGCGCGGTTGATTGTGTTGAATGCGGCGATTAAGATTGATCAGGGGGATGCGAAGAGCGCGTTGAAGGAGATTGCTCAGGCTAAGGTCATGGTTCCGACGATGGCGTGTGGGGTTATTGATCGCGCGGTGCAGGCGTATGGCGCTATGGGCGTTTGTCAGGATACGCCGTTGGCGTATATGTGGGCGTGGGTGAGGACGTTGAGGATTGCGGATGGGCCGGATGAGGTGCATTTGTTGCAGATGGGGAGGAGGGAGAATAAGAGTAGGAAGGAGGAGGTGAGGAGGAAGTTGAAGTGGCAGGCTGAGGAGGCGGAGAGGTTGTTGGGGGTTAGTGCTGCGGGGGGAAGAGTCGGTTGTAAGTTGGGTTGATGAGATTGAGTATATTTGGGGGATGGTTTATTTGTTGGTTGGTATAGGATGATTAGTATTGTTTGAAGATTCGCATGCAAAGTCTCATGAATCATATTCATCATGCACCGTCCTGACGATAGGACTGCTCTAAATAAAACATCAATGGATATAACGAAACGTCATCATCTCCCTTCTTCCCTCCATCCCTCACCTGTCCACGTACTACTTAACTCATGTTTAAGTACGCCATGCCTAATCCCATAGTCATCGTGTAATGAAACCTAACTTTTCCCATCCAAACCTTATCTAACGAACAAAAAAGAAAACCTGGATATAGACTCGCCCGCGAGCAGCTGCTAATAATCCTCGTCCATCGCGTTCTTGCGCACCTTCTTAGCCCGCCGCTTATTCGCCTTGAAATGCTTCTTTGACGAACCGCTCTTCACCTCCGAGACGTCCACTCCCCGCTCCAGAGCGACCATCATGCGCTCCTTACGACCTGTCAGATGCTTGCGCATTTCCTGGCCTTGGTCCGTGTACTGGGCATTGAAAGGAAGGGTGAGACGGCCCGTAGAGCCCTTGGAACCCGGGCCGAAGAAGCCCGTGTCGAGGTTGCGGGACCGCGCACCCTTCTCAACAGGCTTGATTAGGGCGAGCAATTCCGGATCAGTGATCTCCTCGTTTTGGAGCATCTTGGCGAGTTGGGCTTGTCGCCGGGCCGGCAGGTGAGCCATGTCGTAGAGGTCTTTGTTGAATTCAATGGGGTCGATGGGGTCATTGCCTTCGGGCACAGGCGGCGGGTGACAGAAGAGGAGCTTGCCGTTGACGTAGTCCTTGAGGATGTAGCGGGCGGCGCGAGACTCGTCGGGCTGACCCTGACCAGTGGTGGCGAAACCGCGGGCGCGGGCGTAGGCGCGGAGAAGTTCGTGGGACGTGGGGATACCAGTTCCTCCTTCTTCGATGGGGCGGGTGTTGATCTTCACGCCATAGACGTTCTCGACAAAGTGCTTAGGAATGCGCTGGGCGACGAGAGCAGCGGGGCCGGTGAACTCGCGCTGCTGGTCGATGGGGAGGACACCGTTGACGACGAGCTCGGCCTTGGTGGTGGCGAAGTTGGGGAACACGAGACCGGGACAATCGCAGAGCATGATCTCGGGAGACAGGTAGAGAGTCTGGAAGTGCTTGGTCTTACCGGGGGTGGCGGAAACGGAGACCTTCTTGGCACCGAGCAGTGCGTTGATCGTGCTGGATTTACCGACGTTGGGGTATCCGACCAGACCGATGGTCGTCTTCTTCTTGACTTGGCCCTCGGGCGTGTCGTTGTCGGGCAGAGTGTCGGGGGTGTTGGAAAGGAAGAGTTCTTCAAGTTCTTCGACGTTGAGAATCTCTGTGCGTCGGGAAGAGCTGGAGCTGGCGCTGGGGTTGAGTTCAAGACCACCGTCGTGCTCTTCCTGAGGTTCTTCGCCGTCCTTGATATCCAGAAATTTGGCACCCTCAGCCAGCTGCTCCTCCTCGGGAATGTCCTCTTCGCTTTCGTCCTCCGAGTCGAGGTCCTGCTGGAGGCGTTCGTTGCGCTCCTTGGCCAAATGGGCGGAGAAGAAACGGAAGCTGATGTTCTGGCGCTCAAAGTGGTCAGCCCACATGGCACGCTGGGCCTCAGTCAACATGTCGGCCTTGTTAACAAGCAGCAGGTTCTGCTTCTTAGGGTCGATCTCCTTGACGTAGCATTCCAGATCCTCGGAGCGGTAGAGCAGCGGGTTACGGGCGTCGACAATCTGGACCACCAAGTCGGAACGTTCGATGACACGCCACAGCTGGCGCCAGACCTCCAAGTTGCGCTCGAAAGGAGTCATCAACAGATCCTGGTTCTCCTGCAACTCGGCCAGTCCACGACGCCAGTTCAGGAAACTCTCGCGCTCCATCAACTCCAGTTGCTGGCGGGTGGTGGACTGGTCCCACTTGGGCCGACGGGGAACGGTCAAACGGTTCTTGTTCTGCTTGTGCTTCTTCACGGCGGACTTCTCTTCGGCAGCGGACAGAAGGTAGGGGTTCTTCTGATCGGTGTGGATGATCTTGACGTTGTTCATCTTCTCGGCGGTGAAATCGGTGCCGGCCAGTTCGGCGGTACTGAGGAACTCATCGAGGGCGGCCTGCTCGGTAATACTGCGCATCTTCACCCAGGCGGCTTCGGTGGGAGCGTTGGTGATGTAGGTCTCGCCCTTTTCGTTCTTGCGGGCAATACCGGCATTGTGCGAGGCCTTTTTCAAATTGGAGGCCTTGCCTTTGCCGAAACGGTCGTTCATCAGGCTGTTGCCCAGCCCGACGGAGTTTTTGGATTTAGCAAGCACCATGGTGACGGTTGTCTCTGTACCTGGGGATGACTGAGAGGGAGAGACACCAGGGATGGTGGAGGTTGAAGAAGAGAAGAAGTGAAAGAAGATTATTAAGAAAGGTTTGATAAAAACCCAATCGGGCAATTTTCGTCGAACCCCGCGCGGATAAGATAAGGCTGACTCAGCACCTTCTGCGTTCGTCCAAGAGACTGCACGATTTGTTTTGGATAGAGAGTAGGTAGGATTTAGATATAGAAGAATACAATTTTAATTGGAATTACTCTACATGTACTGAAATACGGCAGCATCAGCAGTGGTGGTGGTGAGGACCCTTCGCGATAAGCGGCACGTGACCATCCCACGACCGCGATTTTTCTGCCGAAATTCAGTCCAACATTTAATCTTCATCTTTGAGCTTCATTCTCACCATCACAACTATATCCCTCCCTCCTCTCTTTTTTCCCTGAGTATCTCTCCCGGATTACCGGTTACCGCCCAAAATGCCTCCCCGGAAGCAGTGGATGTACGTTGTCCCTCCATACCCTCCATACACCCCATACAATCAATCTATGTACTCAACTAACCCACCCAACCCACAGCGACAAGAAACAAGCAACTACCTATCAACTCTTCCACCGTTCCCAACATGACCCTCTCATTCACGACCCCTCCGCCGACGACCGCGTTCTGCACCCCGTCTACGGACCCCCCAAAAACGCCCCAAGTGAATCTTCCTCCGCATCCAAGCACCGCGGCCAAAGTCTTGCCGACCTAAACCAAACCTTCGGAGGAGCCGCGCGCAAAAACGAAGGTGAAGCTGCCAATTACGGCATTTTCTACGATGACTCGCAATACGACTACATGCAGCACTTGCGCGAGCTCGGCACCGGCGCCGGCGACGCTTACTTCGTCGAGGCCAAGACGAAGGGCAAGGACAAGGGCAAAGGACTGAAGTTGGAGGACGCTTTGAAACAGGTCTCGCTGGACGACGGACGGAGTGAGTTCGGTGGCACCGAAAGCATGTACAGCTACGACATGCGCTCGACGGCGTCTTCCTACGTGCGCAAACCCACCTACCAGGACCAGCAGAACGTGCCCGATGCCATTGCGGGATTCCAGCCGGACATGGACCCGCGGTTGCGCGAGGCCCTGGAGGCGCTCGAGGACGAGGAGTTCGTGGACGAGGACGACGAGGAGGATGTCTTCGGTCAGTTGACTACGCGGGCAGAGGAAATGGACCCGGGTGACTGGGAAGATACTCTCTTCGACGACGTCGAAGAAGAAGACGATGGATGGGAGTCCGATGCGACAGAAAAGGCCCCTGTGCAGATGGACACCACAGCTGCAAAGGCCCGCTACCAAGACTCTGAGCATGAGGACCAGCCCGGCGAGCTTCCCGAACACAACGAGCCCGCGCCCGACATGCACCCCGAAGACCAAGGCTGGATGCGCGAATTCGCCAAGTTCAAGAAAGACGCCAAGTCCGGCAAAGCAGCTCCCGCCGCTCCTCCCAGCGTCGTCCCCTCCCAGCAGGGCAGCACCCTCGCCTCGACCGTCTTCACTGTCGGAGGAACTCCCATCCGCCGCAAGAAGCGCAAGGGCGCCCTCACTAACCCCTCCGCCTACTCCATGACTTCGTCTGCCCTTGCCCGTACAGAGGGCCACCGTCTCCTGGACGACCGCTTCGAGCGCGTCGAGGCCCTCTACTCCCTCGACGAGGAGGACGAGTTCGATGACAACATGTCCATGGTCAGTGGAATGACCGGCATGACCGGTATGAGTGCCGTGTCGGGCATTTCGACTGCCTCGTCCCAGGCACCGAGTCTCGTTGATGCGAACGGCGAGGCTGTCCGTCCTTCCCACAACTTCAACAACATCATGGATGACTTCCTCGCCGGGTGGGACGACAAGACGAGTGCCCAGGCTAAGCGGAAGGGCGCCAAGGCGAAGCGCGGAAAGAACGGTAACGAGGCGATTGGTATTCGCATGCTGGATGAGGTTCGGCAGGGATTGGGCCCTGCTAGGATTCCTGGGAAGGTGTCGGGGAGGGCGTAGTGGGTTCCCTCTGAGTGAGTGAGTGGGATGTGAGTGGGTATGCTTGAATGATTGCAACGATACCAATTTATCTATCATTTGGTGGGAATAAAAATGCGGGACTGGCGTTAGGGTGTGCATGTGTGCGTGAGATGATTGCATTTCTTGCCTGGTGATAGACTATCTAGCACTGTTCTTTCATATAAAAGTTTTGGGTTCATATACACCATAGCCTTCCTGGACAACCAACAAAGATCAGTATCCCTAGTCAGCTTACTATTTCTTCGCAAACGGGAAGGAACTCGAAACATTCGCGCAAGTATACCCAAATACTTCTTTGCATAGTACCCAAAAGATGATCTGCTTCTAGAGCAGAAGAGTAGACAATGGCCGTACAGGGTTCCAACTTGTCCTGCGCCGCTCCGACTAAGCTCTACAGCAACTCTTCGAAAACAAAAACAAAACAACTCCACTCAAATCTCCAAGAGCCCTAACGAAGGGATAACCTCACAGGCATAAGGATCATTGCGCGAATCATACCAAGTCAGAATAAGACCGCATGATCTTTTTATATTTGATATACTGGCCATGTCTTCTTCCGAGACTCCGCAGCATAGGGAAATACGGCATGCGCTCCGTCAAATCCGCAATGATATTGAGAGCCTTGACGCTCATCAACTTGATTCCAGCCTTCTGAAGAAATATAAATTATGCATGTCACCAGTGGAGCTGGATGAAAGCTCCAATGATAGACCCATCTTCTTTAAACCATGCGATGCCTCTTTACTCCTGGACCCCGACGATCAATATGACGAAGGAAGATCGGAATATACTGACTACGATTCATGGGACCCAGAACTTACTGTAGACTCCACATTGACTGTGCTCGCAGCGTGCTTGACTATAATTCCTACTATGTTTTTGCGAGTTCCCTTGGCAGCAAAGATTTCATTCTTAGGAAAACCTGGTCTGGTGTCAGGTAAACTTGCCTCCTCCTCCTCCTCCACCTCCCCCCCACTCCTGCTGTTTTACAGTACTAGACTTGGTTTTTTGACACTTAGGCCAACAGTACCAGCGATGAGCCTTTCAGAGGGCTATGGCGCGATGCATATCCTGAATATGGAACTATGAGAGCCGATCAGGTCAAGGATCATTCATCTCCGCATATGAAAGCCATGCTCTATAGCAATTAAGATGGCAACAACAACAACATCAACGACGAGCTTCTGCAAGGAGAGATCCTAGTTGCTCTCAGATTAGCCCATACTCAGATGAGACGGCGTCGCTTGCATGGACATATGACTGTTCCGGTAATTCCAGCTCCCATTTTACGCCTTCGTCTCTTCTTCTTAAGGCAAGCAAAGCACTAAGTGTGACTGTATAGGTTCTTCTCTTCTCCTTTATGGGACCCCAACATGCTCGAGTCATTGAAGCATATTTAAATGGCACTTCGTTTGTGATGCGTACAACTCGGCTATTTGATCTTCGCAAGAAAGACGAGGCCCTTGATCAAAATATTCGGTCAGTGGTATCTTGGAGAGCCTACTGGAGATACAAGACATCTTCATAAGGCTTGGTAAAACACCACCTTTGATGAGATTATGATGGGATATAATAGATACTTAGCTACTGGCGCTTTGGATGGAGGAAAAAGGGGTTTGGTTTTGGTTATTGGGCACTCCGTTCTTTTATGTGATGGTTTTGAGGCGTAATGGAAATTGCACTTGCATTCCGTGAAGGTTTTTCGACAATCAAGTCAACTCATACAGTTTATCCTTGCGAAGGCTCCTCCGTTTCGGCAAAACACTGTGGTTGGTGTTCAGGATAGTCGGTTGGTTTCGGATAGCGATCGTCAACATCATACTGCTTATAATGTATGATATAATGAAACTCGACATTGCCTGCTACAAGTCTGAACTTATTGTTCTTGTTCTGACACTTGAATTATGATATAGGCTGTAGGATGTAACTCTTCCCATCCCATAATGTACATTCGATACAATTATACACGGGGTATACTATCTATCTATCAAATACATATTACACATAACCAACTCAAAGGTAGTATACTATAACGCCCCACCCACCTTCTCGACGATCCACATCGCCAACCTAACCCTCCAACTCACCCTTCTCTCCGTTCTCCTCAAATCCTCCCGCGAAATGGCCTTCGCATCCTCCTGCAGCCGCTCTGTCTCAGCGCCCAACTTGCGCTTTAGCTCTGCATCACCCGTGACGACGAGCGCCCCAACCTCCAGATCCAGACTGTAGCTGCGTTTCGTGTAGTTACTGCTCCCCACGAAGGTCAGACTGGGGTGTTCCTCCTTGGGGAGGGTGATCCAGAGGCCCTTGGCATGGTAGGTCCAGCCACCGGGCTGGCCGACGGTGCCGCGGCGCCATTCTTTTAGCTGGATGGAGTTGGTGCGCTGGGCGTCGGCCACACGGTCGAGGAACCGCGCGGACAGGTGCGTGTATGCGGCCGGCAGCATGCCGGAGATACCGGGGGAGCCGTAGAAGCCGTTGGCCCAGGGGGAGGCGGTTAGGACGGTGCCTCGGGTGGTGGAGTCGGTGTGGGAGGCGGAGGTGCTGGCGATGAGGAGGGAGGAGAGGACGGGGTGGATGTTGAAGTAGCCGGCTGTGAAGAGCCAGCGGGCGCCGGAGAAGGCGGGCGAGGTAGACAGGAGACGGAGGATGGTGGTCACGGCGGGGAATTCGGTCGAGGTGTCGTTGGGTTTGAAGAGAGAAGTGAATTGCGCGACGGGGTAGATGTAGGTTTGATCGGGGGACTTCGGGGGCAGGGTGGACTGCTTCGGTGAGGGCTGAATGAGCGGGTTCAGGATGGTGGATGAGTAGGCGATGAAGTCCTCGGGTTGGTCGAGAGGTGAAGGCGCGCCGTTGGATGCGGGCCAGTTGAGGAGGTAGCCAGCGGCGTTTTGAGAGTCGGGGAGGACTTGGAAGCTGAGACTGCATACTGCATTGTGAATGCCGGCGTAGTAGTCGGTCAGTTCCTTGGAGTGGAAGACGTGATACCGGTCTATGCGGCTCGTGAAGTATTCGCTAGAGAGATTGGCTCTGGGTTGCTGTCAGTGTCTATGTAGTAATCCTGGAGCGTCGCACATACCCTGACAGGATGATCTCCTCGTCAAAACCGTACAGCTTCATGTGCTGGAGACCCCAGCCCTCGTTGATCCGACGAGGCACCCATTTCTTCTTCAACCCGGTCAGGTTTGGGGTGTGGAACATGCGGATTTCCACTCTATCCGCACCGTATTTCTCAACCAGAGAAGCCAGCAGCGACGCACATGAAGGGTTGGGTGTTTCGCGCGTTCCTCGTAGAGCATCCGTGAGGATGGAGACCTTGAGCTCGGGGTTGGCCCCGAGAGCCTGATCCAACGTGTCGATCAGGTCATGTTCCGTCTTGCCGATGTATAATGTTGAAAGGTAGATACGCTTGCGAGCCTTTTTGATTTTGTCCTGTAGTTTGGCACATGCTAGGATTAGTCGCAATCCACCACGTTAAAGTCCGAGATATCCCCGTACCTTGAGCGTGTTGTAGAAGCTAGCCGGGGAGTCTAGAATCGTGATCCGCGACGCCGGCACCTCGAAGCACGGCGAGATCCGATCCAACTCGGTCGTGATACTCCCTAACGGCGACGCAACAGAGGACGCAGGCGAGCTGGAGCTGGCATGGCAGGTGTTGGCCGAGAATTTGCGCTCGTATAGTAGGACTCTTCGGGCAGCTGGTCTGCGCGCAGCACATCGCAGGGTGTTACCACCGATTCGTCCGAACATGATCCCTCCCTCGTAGCTGAGCGCGTAGCAGCAGAAGACCCACAAGAAATCAAATGTAATTGCCGGAGTGCTATTGGAGAAAGTCGAGAAATATTGAGATCGAAAGACGAGCGGATGCTGCAAACCCGGCAAACAGCGATCCGCGCTAGACCGGATTGGGGCGGCTTCGACCTCCGGGCGGAAAGCGAGCGACGCAAGAGTCGAAGTCGAACCCGACCTGTTCTCAGTTCTTGCCATTGCTGCCCCTTTCGCTGCTCTGCACACAAGATGTCGACCATTCTTCGGACGCTGCGCAATCTGAGACGGATTGGTTTCAAGGTGAGATCTTTTACGGTTCTTCCGGGGCATCACGGACGAGTTGCTAACTGTATCCCCTCACAGGAATATGGCCACCAAATGCAGGTATGCTTTCGAATGCTGGGAGTGAAGAAGCTTGTGAAGGAGTGGAATGGACACTGACGAGACGTGCTATTTGCTACAATAGTACATTGGTGAGTGGATTGCTGGCTGGAGGTCATGGCAGGTAGACTAACGCCATGCGATTCTAGGTGATACCAAGGCCGGTACCTTGATCGGTGTTGACCGCTACGGCAACAAGTACTTCGAGAACATGGAGGAGGAGCTTCCTCGTGGGTGATGATGATTCTGGGTAAATGATTGTTGCTGACCATGCGCAGTCCGTACCCGCTGGGTCGACTACAAGGAGAAGGAATACGACCCCTCGCAGCTTGAGCCTGGCTGGTGAGCTTCTCGTAATTGATTGCCAGATGCGACGTGCTAACTTTGCTAGGCACGCCTGGATCTCTTACATGGTGGATGCTCCCCCCACTGCCGACAAGATCATGCAGACCGGTGTCCGCAGCTGGGAGCTGCCTGAGCACAGGCCCAACCTGACCCTCAGCCGTGCTGCTTTCAAGACCTACTCTACGTGAGTTTCCTATTGATTGCCAGTATAAAAAATCGAAAGCTAACGAGTGCAGTACCCGCCCCAAGTACTCCGCCTGGACTCCCGTTGCGGCACCCCGGTAGATGTTGGTAGAGCGTTGGCCTAGAAATCAGACCATGTTCGAAGATGTGTAAATAAATAAAGATGTCCTACTTTCCGTTTGAACTATCGCGATTGTCACAATTATCCCCATTGACCTGCCAGTTCTATACAGTAGTCCGTAGTCTAATTATGCACATGAGGATATCACTGAGGTATCACAGCAACCAAATGCCAAATCAAATGCCACAAAACAGCTCCCTTGACGATGTAGATACAATAATCAGAGAACGTATATACCGGAGCCGATGTTGGACCAGTGCCGAATGGGGCGTCGGTCTTCGAGCTCGACACACCACCACAGAACATCTCTCAACTTTTGGATCTGACTTTCCGCCTCGTACGCGCGGGAGAGTGCATACCACGCCTCGGAGTTGTCCCACGCACTGCCACGCTTGGTCAACCCGGACAACAGCCCAAAGGCACGTTCGCGGGCCGCGATGCGGTTCAGGAGTCGGGGCTCTTCGTCGTCTGAATCCGGAACCTCCTTAGCCTGCGGCTTCTGCGCTTGACTTGACCGCTTCGCGTCGTCTTCAGATGATGGTTTGCTAGAATTGCTCGGAAACAGCGACAGCGTCGATACGCCGGCATCAAGCCGGGGCTTGGGAGGCTGCAAAGGCATCTTCTCTTCCCAAACGTCGAGGAGCAGATTTGACAAACCAATAGTTGCCTTCGGATGATCCGCATAATGGAGAAGCGCCGTCTCAAAGTGCTCCATCGCTTCATGCGGGCGAGTCTGGTCGATAGACTGGAGACCGCGCTCGGCATAAACGTCTGCCCATAGTTCATCAGTGCTCTTGGGGACGCCCCATCCACGCTCCCTAAACGCTCTAGCGGAGGTCTCTTGTGACGCCACAAGAGCTTCGAAGCGCGTTACCTGTTTGGCTGCTTCCTCGCATGCCTCGTGAGCATCCTCGAAAGATGATGCCCGGCGATAGAGCCCAGCAATAAGCAGCCAAACCTTGACGAGGATGCACAGGCCATGCTTCTGGGCCTGAGTAGGTGGGACCTTGGTCACCGCCCTGGTGGGAGTGTCGAAGGCGTACGATGTAGGTAGTCGGATATCCTGCTCCGGTGGCTGCTCGGAATGTCCGGCTGGAGCGGGTGGTTGGTTGTGCTTCATATTGTGAGCCATAGGCCCCAATGGCTGCTTTGCGCTCTGGGGCTGGGCCGCTGCATCCGACACGGCTAGTCCAACCATGTCTGGAACAGGGTTACTAGCTTCAGGCCCAGCCTGAGTCTCGCTATCGCCGTTGACATGGCTTGAGTTAGCAGCATCTGCCTTTCTCAAGGTATTGCTCCTCTTACGGGCCTGACGTGAGTCTGTGCTGTCATTAAGCCCCGACTTCTCCCCATCGGTAACCTGTATTGCCGGGGCAGACTCTGTAAAGGTCGAGTTATCTGTCTTGGGCTCTTGTCCAAAATCTGCCCTCCTTTCAGGAGCGCGGGGTCCCTTGTGGCGACCAAAGATGCTGCCGCGGAGGCTTTTCACAGTCCCAGCAGAGCTTTTCGGGGGAACAAGGTGCTCGTGCTCGTGCTCAGCCTTGGTATTTGGCTTCTCGTTATCTTCCAGGTTCAGAGAGTGGAAAAGTGTGGCGAACAGACTAAGGAGCTGGTCGCTATGGTTGACAGCAGCTCCCGGGCCCTCAACTAGTTCAACAAACGCCAACTGGGTCATCCTGGTCTCGATAATACGCTCCTTCTCGCGGACTCGTAGCTTCTCGATAAGCTCATGAGTGATGCCCGTGATCTGATCTTGAGCAGTGTGATTCTGCTTCTGCGGTCGTCTGTCGCTATGGGCGAGGGACGTCACCGTAGCAGGGAACTGCTCAAATGCGGCTTCACACGAGCGTTCGGCAATGTCGAAGTCCTGCTTCGCGCTGAGAAGGAGAGCAAGCAGATGCCACAGGGGCACCAGATCTCTTTCTCGAGCGAAATCAGCTTGACCTGTTTTGTGCTGTGCATCGGATGTCAACGCCGACTTGACGTAGTCGATGGCACCATCTAGATCACGATTCTCTGCTAGAAGAACAGCCAGGGTATATAGAGAGGAGCAGTTAGACTCGTCTTCAAGCTCCGGGGCCAGGCTTCTCTCCAGGTAGTCAATAGCTTCTGCCCGGATGTCGTCGCGATCCTCATTCACGGGAGTCCAATAAGCCCAGTTAGCAAGCCCGATACCGATTCCTCGGTAAGCTGCAGCGATGTCGGATGGGGGGACTGCCTGGGAGCGGGTTGAGCTAGTTTCAGGCACCACGAGAGTCATGCCTTGGTCTTCATCATCCTGTACATGCTTCTCGGTAAACTCTTTCAGGAGAGATGTGAGATCCTTTGCTTTCTCGGCCTCTTTTTCTGAGCCGAAGCAACTCAGCATTGTCACACCCTCCGACACGGTGCGCAAAAGGACCCCATCATTTTCCAGGTCTCCAGATTCAGCTCCTTTTGCAGCCCGCTCTTTGGCGCTTGTGACGATTTCGATATATGAATCGAGGGCCCTCAGAGCAAGGTCATAGTCCGCGAGTGCACAATGCACATGGAACAGACGCCGCAAAATCAAGTGTGAGTGGTATGTCTTGGTAGCAGCGCGGTAAAGAATCTAAGATTATCAGCAAGTTGCTTTCCATCCTCAGTCCCTCGACTTGGAAACTTACATCAAGAACGTTTCTGCCGACAGCATTCTGGCCACCCTCCCCAAGCTCTTCATCTGTCCAACCGGCACCGCAAAGCACCTCCCAGTTCTGAATGACTTGTTCGACCCAGGCCTCAACTTCCGGGTTGCTCGAGTCAGCTGTAGGAAATTTCGTCTCGCGTAGGATGCTAGCTTCACAAAGCGCCTCAACGCGTCGGATTTCACTGGCAAGCTGCGGGCGTTCAGGTCCATTTGCAGGAGGGCAATACGGCAGGCCCTGTTGCAAGATACTTGATAGCAGATTGTAGTACGATTTCCAGGTCGGGGATTTCGAAACCGGCTCGGTAGTGCCGTCCATAAGCATGCCTTGAGGCAAGGTCATTTGCTTGACTGAAGGATGAGATGCCCACAGTCTGAAGAAACCTAGCGTCGTGGCTATCGTTTGAGCACTAGCAGCGGCAAGGTCTCTGCTGGCTTCCTCGCATGCCAGAGAGGCGCCTTGGCCCAATAGTTTCTCAGACCAGTAGAGAAATTGGGCGCTGTTTGTAGGGGATTGGAGCTGACTGTTCACCCATGGCGTAAGCGAATGAAGGGTCTCCAGGGCGCCTTCGGGGTCGGAGGTCATGCGCTGTGCAGAACCTATCATAGATTAGCAGGTGCACATCCTCAAATTTTCACTGTGGAGCAAACGCACCCTTGAGATAGCACGCCTTGACAAGGCATGTCTTGGTCCATGGCGAGAGCTCTTCCCCTGCCTGCTCGAGCTCACTCACGGCCTCTACAAAATCTTGAGGAAACCGGGCAGCTGCCAAGCCTAGCTCATTGACAGTCCAATGTACCCATCCCAAGCAGACCTGCGCCTGGAAAACTTCTTGCTTCGATCCTTCTGCCCGGTTGACGGTGGATAGGAGTGATGGAATCAGGTCATGGAGACCGGCGGCGGAGGAAGGGCGGGGGGTGGAGGGATGCTTTTGAAGGTGTGAGGCCAGCTGGTATTCAGCGCTGGCTACTTCGAGGAGACCTGTGGCATCCCCATTAGTCCATCTGTTGGCTGGCCAGTATTTCCGGGGAAAGGCAAGTTGGCATTACATGTTCTCTGCGGAGCATGTTTGGTGACTTTCCGAATCAACTCCGGAACTTCTTCCCATTTATTCTGGCAACGCGCATTGTCCAGGGCCGTAACATAGCGATGCCCCTTATCAGAGTCTCGACCCTGTATGAATGGGAATCGGTGCCTCGGTCAGCGGAAGGCATGTGGTGGCAGATTGAGGGGAAAGCTTTCACAAGTTTGCCATTGAGACGTTCCCAGGGGGGTGAAGTGAGAAGCCACCACTTACAGTCATGATTGGGAAAGGTCAGACAGAGACGGAGGAATCAATGATTACAATCGGAGGGAAGAGAAAGAAGCAGCGTCCATAACAGGGACGAATGCCCACTCGAGGCAGCAGAGAAACAAGATGATATGGCTCCGTTGACGGCGGAGACCATCTTAAGGGGAGACCCGCCGTAACGTACGTAATGTCTCGTATTATTGCCCGAGGCTTCATGTGGTCCGAGCGTCGAAGCCAAAAATTTCCAGAAAATTGGATGTTTGGAGCATCAACTCAATCTTGCGCCAGACCCGTCAATTGCTTCGCTGCGGTCGCTTGTGCAATTTTGCCCTCGTGAAGATGGCCTACATGTCCATGTCCCTCCATGCCGTCAACCACCGGTTGACCAACGTGCCTGTCAAGCAACTACCGCATCTCGCATCATGCCTCGCATCCTCCATCAGCAATTGCGGGGAGTTGCTGTCAACTCCCCAAAGCCAAAAGTCGGGCAAGACGGACTCGGACAATGCCGTTCAGATTCATAAGCTCATCACTCGCTTGGGAAGTCTGCTGCAGGACCGCACGTATGAAGGTCGCTGGACCGCGGTGGTGCTTGTGAAGGCGCTGGTCGAGGCTGGCCAGTGGGAGATTCTACGTTCGAGCGAACCGTTTGTTCGGGGGTTGATCAGCATTTTGGCTGTAAGATGCTCAATGGGAGACATACTGCATGGCAGATGCTTACTGAATTGCTGCGCATAGAAATCCGACCCCGTTTCTACGAAGAAAATGTGCATCATCACCTTGACTCGCATCTTCCACCTGACCTACCAATACCCGACCCTCGTTCGCGAGATCACCACTCCGGCTCTACCAGGCTTCATCACCTCGGCGCTGAACCTGATCTCTGTCAAGCCATCTTCTGAGCCCGTCCGGAGACTCAAGCCGAATACTCCCTTCGTCGAAGTTGTCCTCCAAGCTGTTAATGAGCTGATCGCAAGACACCCGACTATCTTCCGTCCGTTCACCGCGCAAATCCACAGTCTCCTTCAGGTCATCATCGGATCCACGTCGCCCACGTTCCCGGAACATATCTTGGAAATCGCTCAGCAGCTGTTCATCTCCCTCCACAACTGCGCCCCGAAGAACACCGGCGGCGATGAATGGAAGAGCGCTTGTCGCATGACCATTACCTCCGTGCACGCAGCGTCTTCTTACGTTCTGAGGGCCGTCGTAGAACAGTGGGAATCCGTCGACCCGTCCCTGCGACAGATGTCGCAACCGCAGAACTACAGCCAGGAAGTGGGCAACGGCCCTGACGCTCTGGGACTTGAGAGCTGGCAGGGTCTGAATTCCGGTGTCAACCGGTTGGTTGTGCTCTTGCGCATGCTTTCTGGATTCGTCGGCACCGCTACTGCTTCTACCGTGACCATTCCGGTGGGAGCGATCCTGGATCTGACATCCCGACTGAACATGGTGGTGTATCCCTCCGGTAGCAGCGACATCCAAGCCAACCCCCAGATTGGCCGCGCGGAGCGCGAGCAGCTGCTCACCGAACTTCCTCGCATCCACATCGCATGCATGAAGCTCCTCCTTGATCTGGTCAATGCCCTCGAAACCAGCGCCATCCCCGTCGCACAAACCATTCTGGAGCAGGCATTGTGGGTTTTCCGCGCGGAGCAGTTCAGCCGGGACGTCCGCACCGCCGTGTACGATCTGGTCTGCGCCTTGCTCACCCGCATCGGTCCCTCCATGACCAAGCAGAGCGTGTCTTCCATGGCCTTCATCATCCGCAAATGCTGCCACGACCTTCTCCCTCCCACTGGCAACCAGAACGCAGCTACCGAGAAGCCCGACCCCAAGTCGAAGAACAAGTCCAGCAGCCAAGCCACCGTCAACGCCGACTCCTTCCTGAACCCCGGCCTAAAACAAGTCCGCCAGACCAGCTCCTCCTCGTCCTTTCCCGACCTCACACGCGCTGCTTCTGAGCTCCTCGCCGCCACGCTGACCCACACACCATCCGAATTCATGTCCCCGGCCCTCCGCGCCGAAGTCGACCGCACCCTCATCCTGACCTCAGACAAGAACGCCATGCTAGCCAGCGTCCTCAACCCCTTCCCCGCCATGCAAGGCCGTGGCGTCGGCACCAGCATCCTCCCCTTCCTGGCGCGCAGCCACCCCGCCGAAACGGAAGTGGAATGCCTCATCCGCCCGCGCATGCCTGTGGTGATGACCGGCTTGACAGCCAACGGCTACGTGCCCATGGAAGATGACGACGACGAAGATGAAGACGAGGCAGTCACCGCAGTCCCCGCATCTACAGCAACCGGGTTCCTCAAGCCCACTCCCACCCCTACCCTCCAGCACGACGACATCATGGACGTGGAGAAGGATATCCCCTCCCCACCAAGCAAGCGCAGCTACGCCGATGAGGTCGAACAGCCTGCGGCACCAACAATCGCAACGACAAGTCCCAGCTCGCAGAGCAAGAAGCCCCGCTTCGAACCAAAGGCCGCTGCTGTAACCCAGCCTCCTCTGGACGCAGCATCTCCGGCAACATTCACCGGCACGGCCGCTATCTCTGTCCCTACGTCTTCTATCGCTGGACCGGCCCCGGTGCAGACGCCGAAGCCGGCTCAGTCTTCTATTGCGAAGCCATCTGCCTTGGCCGCAGCTGCCGCAGCAGATGATGAGAGTGATGATGAAATGCCCTCTTTGAATGTCGACCCGGATACGGAAGATGAGGATGAGGATGAGGAGTAGATGGATGATTAGGGGCGTATGCATGTACTATATACGATAGAATAAGTTAAAAGTGTAGCGATTATTAAAAGGTTTAACAAGGCACGATCACTCCCAGAAGATAGTAACTTTCTAATTTACTAAGTTGTTCCTAGCCTTTGCCTCATACAATAGTAGTAGTAAATACCGAGTCCAAGTTTAGACCTAAAAATACCATTATCATTCAGTTTATCATAACCAACAAATTAGCCCGCTCCATACTGCATGTACACATTTCCCAGACAAAATAGTAACCGAAAACAGAATCCAAACCATATCCAAGCTCTATTCGAACTCTACATAGAAACATATAGTGTATATACTACTACACCAAAGCACATATGAAACCTCAATACAACCTTACCCCCCTATCCCAAAACCCTTCCCCACCATCCCACCTACCAAACCACTTCCCACTCCACCACCACCACCCTTGATCCCCGTCATGCACACCGATCCCCAACCCCCTCAACAGACTCACCGGCAACGGCTCCGTAAACCACAACCCACCCCTCGAAAAATCCTCCACCAAGGGTCCCGCCGTCCCAAACAACCAGGTCACCGCAAACAGAGCATTACAAGTCCGTCTCATCGGCCGCGGCATCCACAACCACAGTGGAGAAACCAACCCCTGAACGAGAACCCCAACCGCCTGGAGAACGAAGAAGCGGAAGGGACCCGCAAGGGGATAGGTCTCGCGGTTCTGGACGTAACTGCCGGAGGCGTGAACGAGACCACTGAGAGAGAAGGCGACGAGGGCAGTGAGTGTACGGCGGACTAGGCGGGAAGATGATAGACGGGAGGGGAGGAGAGAGAGGAGCCAGTGGGCCGCGGAGACGAAGCCGTACCGGAAGAGCTGGTGCCACCAGAGGCTCCAGCAGCCGGCGAGGCTGCGGTCGAGGATCGGGGTGAGGAAGGGCCCGAAGGCTGGGGGGTAGAGGTAGGGAGCGGAGAGGGGGACGGAGGTGAGGGATTTGGCGGCGTTGGGGAAGGCGAGGGAGAGGCCGCCGAAAATGAGCGGGTTTAGGCATGTCACGTAGTTGAGGGCGGCGAAGACGCCGGTGGCTGTTACTAAACAGCGGTAGATGTGGATGAGGAGAGGGTAGGGGGTTAGGTGGTGGAAGGGGAAGGGGGGTGGTGCGGGAGGAGATACGTTGCCCATGAAGTATTGGTCGCGGATCATGAGAAGTTTGATTAGGTCGAGGAGGAGGTAGGATTGGAGGAAGAGGATGAGTGTGGTGCGGAGGCGAGCGCGCATGGTAATGGGCTTTGGAGGGGTGGTTTTGTTTGCTTTTTCTTCATGAAGATGCTCTGAGGAGTTGTTGAGCTGTGCCTGGACTGAGGCTGGTAAGGCGTCCATGGAGGAGATGCGCCAATTCCATTCGGGCCCGCGCATGCTGGTGGCCACGCTTATGACCCAGTTGATACGGTGAGAAAGGTTCCGTGGGTATGGTTGCCATATGACAGATTCAGTGCTGCTGTCGTTGGTGGTGTCTATGCATTTTGGTTCTTTGGCATGACCGTTGGCCGCAACTCCATTTGGGACAGCTGCGGTAGAAGATTTTGATAATGGACGGCGCTCCAGGCGTTTGAAGTCGCGCTCAACATTGCGGAAGAGAAGAATCGTCGCGGCCCAGATGGTGCTCCATACGGGGATAAGACCGGCCATGTAGCCATTACCTCCCGTGAGCATGCGTCGATGCTGGAGAACATTGCCGGTGATGCCTATGATGCACGCCAGCACCAGGGGGCGAACATAGCGGCCACCTTTGTGATGCGGGACAAGGAGCGCTAGAATGGACAGCACAAGGGGTAGTGTCAGATGCCATAAGAGAACGGGCTTCACTTGGCCATTTTGAATGAGTGACTCGAACTGAGCTTCATTGTCGTGGATGAGACGGCGGTATGAAAAAGGTGGTTGAGAGGCGGCCATCCTTCCGATGGCCGGATCTAGCGACAAGACTAGAAAATAGAGAAGTGGAATAAAACGAGATAAAACTATAAAAGTAAGATTAGGTGGTCTATGAAGCAACCATGAAGCTCAGATTAGTTAGGACACTCCATCGGGTGGCGACGAAATCATCGCGATGCTTCCAGGCAAGGGATCGCCACGCTGGCCACGGGCCGGTCCTGGCCGCGTTTGCTTTTTCCATCTCAGAAAGGTCCTCGCATCTTACATATCTGATCTGCAGAACTATTAGGGTCGGGGTAAATATAAGGCTACCCGTGGTTCAAAGTATAATCAGTTGCTGCGTAGTTTCGAGCTTTGTGTTTTTTTTTCTAGAGTGCGACCGTTGCTTCAGACGGAGAGAAAATGGATCGGTAACCATCCCGCACGTTGCTTGCCCAGGGGTTCCGAAGCCGGGAAAATCCTGTGAGAAGTTTGGTTATTATCAGTCCATTCCCAGGGTCGATCCTGGCTTTGGCGTCGATACTGGAACTGGAACAGCAGCATGATCCAGTAAATCCCCGGAGAGTATCCGGTCGGAATATATCTGGCCAGTGTGAGCACAGCAATAGCGGTATGCCAGTTTGCAGTTGGAAGCATTGCGGTGTCCAACTCAGAGAGGTTGCTACCATAAAAGCCCTAAGATTCCCAGTGTGATACCAGATTAAAGATCGTTAGAGATGCTCGTTTTTGAGTGGATATATATACTATAAATGTTGTGAAGCCTGGGGGGATCCACGTTCCGTGCAAGAATGCAGGGAGACAAGAGGCCATCCACAATTGCCAGAAGAGCACTACTGAGCGCTTTTATGCGGTATTTCAGAAGAGGAAGTAAGCACCCCTTTGCTTTGGAAGCAGATCCCGAAACCGTCGAGCAAACAAGCTAAAGAACTTTAGCCAGAGAATTGATAAATCAATGACCGAATGAGTGGATCTCGCGGTTTGGAGCCGGAGACCCCGAATGACTCTCTCCCATCTGGGGTAGACTAGTAGAGACTAGAGACCGAGATGGAGAGATCATGGACCCCTCCCTTCTAATCTCATCATTCCATGGCTCGTCACTCCAGATTATCCGTCATTATCCTTCATTATTCACCAAATGCACAGCCAAGCGGGATGCTTGGTCAGAGTGCCCTCAAGCTACCCATGAATGGATTCATCAGCATAATCGGCAGGACGATGGATTTCTTCATCCTTCAGACATACAAAGCCGTTCAAACATCGGTCGGCTAAAGCCGCCCTTCACGCGTGGCTCGGTTCCTCTCGTATTCCATCTCCATCTTATGCATTCAATAGCGTGCATCCTTGTGCACTGAGGCCATTCCACCAACCAGATGCCGGAACCATTCCTGCTTGGGCCTCCAAACCAGGAATCGATCGCCGGATTGAGTATGTTTTATGCGACCAGCTCTTATGCACAAGAATCCCACACAACCCAGTTCACACTAATTTGCCGGTCCATCCAATGTTGTCATGCTCGTCTCGACTGGAATCTGGTGCTTCCCATTAGTAGTATCTGGGGCTCACTTCCGCATGATGATTGGAAGATGCACGGCGCTCGTGCTCGCCCATAGCCCAATATCAGGGTCGGCTATTGGGTTTGCGCAATCTGGGATCAGCTGCTCTATCGCCAGCTCCCTCGTTATTAGAGGCTGCAGAATCCTCCTCAACGACTAGCTTTTTCGGTGTATTTCGCATGGTCTGTTTGCTTCTTCCCACTAGTCAGTGGCCATGAATACAGGGTTGGTCCCAGGTGGCCCCCAAGATACATAATCTCGAGTTTTCCCTGCTCGAGCAGTAACTGTTTCTTTGTGGTTAGTGTCCTTCACCCACCGTGTATTGGCTGCCATTTTCTTGCATACGAAAAGAATCACCAAACATGGCTGGTGACAATCTCCCGGCTGCTGGGGAGCCGGCCATGCCCAACCGAATATCTTATTGGCGCCTACTGCTCGACCAAGGCGTGCTCACCCAAGAAATCCTCGACTATGCATGGGAGGGCTCTGGCACTGATGATGACCCATACCTCGTCACCTGGATTCCGAATGATCCTCGGAATCCCATGAACTTCCCCGCCTGGCGCAAATGGCTGTATACGATAACAGTGGCTTGGGCTACGCTCGCCGTGTCCTTGGTCTCGTCGGCCTACAGTGGAGGAGTCGAGCAGATAATGGAAAGCTTTCATGTGGGCACTGAGGTGGCCACGCTCGGCATTTCGCTCTTCGTGTTGGGCTTCGCAATCGGCCCTCTGCTCTGGGCTCCCATGAGCGAGCTCTGGGGCCGGCAATACCTCTTCTTCGTCAGCTATTGTGGGCTCGCGGCGTTCAATGCCGGCATCACAGGCTCCAAGAACATCGAGACCCTCATCATCCTACGCTTCTTCGCGGGCGCATTCGGATCGTCGCCCTTGACAAATGCCGGAGGAGTGGTGGCGGACTTGTTCCCCGCGAAGCAGCGAGGGTTAGCTATGAGTATCTTCGCAGCGGCACCGTTTATGGGTCCAACCATCGGCCCGGTTTGCGGGGGCTTCCTGGGGATGAACGCGGGATGGAAGTGGGTGATGGGATTCCTGGCTGCTTTCTCCGGTCTTCTCTGGATCATCGGTAGCCTGGTGGTGCCGGAGACCTACGCCCCGGTGCTGTTACAGCAGCGCGCAAAGAAGCTGACCAAGGTGACAGGGAAGATCCATCGAAGTAAGACCGAGGCAGAGAAGGGGAAGGTCCCCTACTCCACCGTCTTCAAGACAGCACTGTCGCGGCCGTGGCTTCTTCTGTTCCGTGAACCGATTGTCTTCCTACTCTCCATCTACATGGCCATCATCTACGGAACATTGTACATGATGTTTGCTGCATTCCCCATTGTGTACGAGGAGCTGCGCGGTTGGAACCAGGGTGTCTCTGGTCTCTCATTCTTGGGGGTCATGGTGGGCATGAACTTAGCAGTTCTGTACAGCATCTGGGACAATAAACGGTACGAAAGAACCGATGAAGCTCACAAGGGATTTGCACCCCCAGAAGCGCGTCTCCCTCCGTGTCTGATGGCGT